CTCACTTCTGGCTGGACAGAGTTTCGGTACTACAAGAGCAACATGGATGTTTTGAGGTATTACAATATCTCTAACTACCCTGTAGGGGAATAAAGTATGTGCCTATGCTTGAGAGGTTGAGCCTTGAACATCACCATCATATTTATAATTAACATTCCTACCTCGACACCATCACAATCAAATTCATTGAAATCTACTTCAAACCGTTGCGGTATCATCTCTGCCATATCCATTGTGTCTGGAGAAGGTGATGGTGGCTTTGTTCCACCTCTTGTTTTTGATGTTACACAGCGATAAGATGACAACTCTTTTTTTTATTCAATTTAGTGCACTTCCACTGAAATTGTTTTTTGTCTCTTGTCCTTATATTTGCTAGATTAAATCTGAAAAATTACATGTTTTGATTAAATAATGTAATCATTTTTTTGAGATGCAGGTACTTATTAAAATGTTTACTTCTCTGTAATATCGCTCCAAGCCTTCATTTTCTCCTTATTAGTATTCGTGCTTAAATCTTTGTTCTCAATTATTGATATATAGGGTCGTAGAATATTTCTAAAAAGTTGCTGTAACAAACGCAATAAACAAAAGTTAATTAAGTTCATGTTTCAGTTTTAATCAACAATAATACTCGATAATACATACGGATAGTTAACCTCAATTGTATTGAAGCACTCAGGAAGGTTGGCACAGTTTTTTCACAAATACTTTATCATATTAATTAGTATTGATTTAGATATTCAATTTCTGATTTTAATTCAGACGCACATATAAAATTCGCACTTGTATAATGAAAATAACTATAGTCGTATTTTTAATTAGACGAAGCCAACTGACAGTAGCTAATGTCACTTTGTAAAATAATGTTGCCATATTTAAAGTAATAGTGATGCGTTCAGTTCTTGTTCAATCAGATGAATGAACAATGAGTGTGAATAGTCAATCATTTCAAACAATAAAAGAATATTATTTCTATTTCAAAATTGTATAAAAGTGCTCTGATATAAGTTAGGTACTAGTACTATGTAACTACAATCAGTTTTTTGACGTCTTATTACAAAGCGCGGCGCGGCGACTAGTGCCATCACCGATCATTAATTCAGGGGTTTTTACTTTGTCACAACACTATTTTTATTTCATTAAAAACTGACAACACCGTAAACGTCAGTTGATATCGTCTAATTAAAAATTCGACTATAGGTACTTTTAAACTATATTTAATCATAAAATTCAAACTCCTATATTTGTTTAAAAGGTAAATGTCATTGTCAGATGTCAATTGTCATGGATATTCAAAATTCTTGTTAAGCTGCTAAGCTAAGAAATAGAATATGCGTGAAGTTAGCTTATATTCTATTTCTTTTGTAGATTGCGCACGCTATAATCACACTCCGAATTTTGTGTCATAGGTGCGCGCGCATCGTAAAATTTCACTCTCATCAAATTTTCATAACGCGCCTAAAGAAGTATAACTTCAAAAATTGAAGTGAAAAAATTATTTTTTCGAAAGTTATCGTGTTTACTGTGAACACGATCATCCAAAATCCATACGATATGGCACTAAAATTACTTCCTTTTAAATAAAAAAAAATTGAAGTGAAAAATTATTTTTTTCGAAAGTTATCGTGTTTACTGTGAACACGATCATCCAAAATCCATACGATATGGCACTAAAATTACTTCCTTTTAAATAAAAAATAATTAATCATAACCGAAAAAATAATTTTTATAAGCTCAGCGATCATTTTTCTTTCCGATAAGTTGCTTTTTAAATAATATTCATGTACATCATATTTGTTATATACGGTTTAATGTGAGAAAACATCGGATTTAGATTTTTAGGCAAGAGTAGAGCATACCTACTACGCGCTTCGCACTTAAGGCATGCAATTGCGTAGTCGTATTTGTATTGTACGGCCAGAACAAACGACATGACGATTCGGTAAGAGTGTCTGGCTGAATGGATAGCACAAGTGCAGCGCGATAGGGTTACTACGTGAGCCGAAGCGGGCTCCTGATGTATAAAAAAGTTGGAATTTTATTGATAGAAAATTGATATGATTGTGGACTAAGATATCAAACTTTAGAGGCGGCAAAAATTGAATAGCCTACGGGCGGCAAATCTATAAATCCGCCACTGCTGAGTAGGGACGATTTTTACTGATTGGGCACCATCAAAAGAATTGCCATGAAAGAAGATTTGCCACGTGCCCCAGGTGGTATAGTTACGCCACTGACCAAACATATATCCAAAGATAGATTTCATATTATAAACAAGAAGGTGTATATATTTACGAAAGGAAAATATTAATAAAAATTATCAAATACGCAATACCTAAATCGGCTGTGCGATGTGATGGTTTGAAAGTGAGGGTGATTTAGCACTATGGATATTCTTACTCCTCCTCTCTTTAAGCATATTGCGTGATAGCTTAAAAAAGTCAAGGCTTTAATAGTGGTCGTTATATGTTATAATACGTTATTTTCCAATGTTTGATGCTATGTTACATGTATTAGGGACGAATAATTGTTATTTGTACAAATAAAATAACGAAAAAACGACGGTTGTCTTTTGTACGTACAATTCGTTTACACCTTTAATTTATTTATTTTCTTTTATTGTTTTATTATGCCTTTGTGTCTTATAAGACCATTTGTAATGATTGAAAATGATTTATGGCGAGTAAATTACGTAACAATGGCAATTCTGGTGTTGTTATTTTATTTGACACGGTTAATGCGCATAATTTAACGGGAATGCGAGTTTCTATAAATTAATTATTGTTACAGTAGCTTTTGAATATTTGAATCCTTATTGGGGAGACACACTTATGTATCTGTTCATACATTACACGTAACGTGCGTTAATCACTAGGTACGCCACGGTGGCTTTTATGTAGGGAAGATTTACACTTGGAAACTTAAAAATGTTTTTATATTTCAACAAATTTGTCAAGGTCAATAAACTCCAATATTGGCATTCATGTATCTCGGTACTGCGTAGGAAAAACTGTTTACATACGAACCAGCTTACAATTATTATCTTTTGTGTATAGAATGTACGGGGTTCCGAGAAAGCAGGATATGCCTTTCCTTTTATTTACTTAAGAGTATGAACTTATTGTTCATTCCTTAGCTAAAAATCTTGTATACAGTTATGTTATTTAGATGATTATCTGCTCTCGTCTAATTAGAAGTGCCGTCTCACGGATTCTTGCAATGATGATAATAAAAATTCGCGCCTGTCGCAAGATATGTGCTGTAATTCTAAATTTGACAGATAAAAACTTTAATTTATATTATTCCCCCTTTCCATTGAATTATGGTTATTGGTTTTGAACGATATATTTTTGCATTTTCACCCTATTTAGCCTCCAAAGCTTTATACTCAGCTTGTGTCCCTGACAGCCTTGGGAGTTTTTGAAAGCGCTATTTGCCTGTATCAATTGATTGAGACCATCACCAGCACCATTCCCAATAATGATTAAACCCAAACTAATGTAAAATTCATCAGTCAATAAAATGTATCTTCATGTAATGTGATAAAACTACAACTAAACTCAAAATTATATCTGATATAGTTCAATTCAAATCAATTTAGATGGTTTTGAAGTCACCTTTTTGATTAAAATTGACTCATCTTCTACATTGCATAAGCTTTCGCACTGACAGTAATCACCGCTAGGACCACTACCTTTACTTTCTTAATTTTCGTACACTGCCAATAAAGGCGCAAATGACGTGTACAATACAAATAAAATACAAAAATTAAAACTACCAGCTTATCTTCTGCGTTTTAACTAGTAAATTTAAATTAAATTTTCACCACCGTGAAAAATACGTCTACCATGAACGAAGTTTCCCGCGCTTTTTTTCTTTTCTATATTTTGAATGTGACAATGTCCAATAATACTTATTATTTGATATTATCACTTACTTTACTTGACAATGGGCGTGTTTGGCCGAAGTAAGTACTTACTAAATTTAGTAAGTCACTTACTATGCTTACAAAATTTTCGGCCGGGACACAAAATAAGTGCTAACGCAGTAAGTATGGCTTAATATACGACGCCATTTTGCTTATTGTTGATGTAAACAAAACGGACAATAAAATATCCAATAAAATATTTCTCATAAAATTATCCATTTGAAATTATTCACAGGTATTAAATTATATTCCTAAATTTAGTACTGTCAATTATATTCAGTCTATGAGGTTATGTACGGGATATGACATAAACCGGTGTTTTGTGTTATGTTAATAAGCCAGTAAGTCTGTCCTGGCCGAAAAGCGCTACAGTCAGCTTGTAAGACTTTAATTTTTTTATGCTTACTGGCTTACTAAGTTTAGTAAGTACTTACTTCGGCCAAACACGCCCATTGACTTACTTTAATTTATAAAGTCAAGCATAATACCAGCAGTTATCAGCTACAGTATGGCACACGGAATCAGAAATGTCGAATTATAAATTCTCGTTTATATCCGTTAGTTTTATAAAAACTTGTACTTGTATAAGCCAAAGTCGGTTAATTGTTTAATTTTTTGAAACCGGGGCAAAATAAACTTGGTGACTTAAGACTTTAGGAACAACAAAAAGTATACAATATAAATTAAACAATGAGTCACTCAACATTTATTAAACAAACATCACAGTTCACAGAAAGCTTTGTAGATGCTTTGAAGTACTAAACAAGAAAAATTTAATTATAATAATCATGCTATTAAAGAAATTTAATTTTTAATCTGCTATTTAGGCATGTACATAATACATTGCGTACCCTCACAACAGAAAAAAATTCATTCAAATAAATTTTGATAATTGGTTATTAATTAACGACAGTAAAACTATTGTGTTTAGTAAATTTTGTATACAAAGTTTAGAGGAGACGGTTTAATGAAACATGGTCTTGCTGTTAATTTACAAGGTATAACAGAAACAATTTATAATTAGATTCATGCGTAGAGTCTTGAACAATATTTAGTTGGGCGGTGGTAGCCGTCAACTTGTGTGGTACAACCCCGCTAGTGCATCTTGAAGAGCTCGTAAGCAGGGCAGTGTTGATTTATAGCCACCGGCTTTCTCTGTTTCATTCTCTGCTCTGTAATCAAAATAATCACAACTAGTTTCAGCCAGTTAGAACATTTATTAGATAAGAACTAACTAAATGGTAATAGTGACAAGATAGATTTTGCTATTGGAAAGAAAAGGTAACATTTACACTCTGCGATAATCTATGGTCTGTCTAAAAATAACCAAAGAACCTTCTGGTGCACTAAATTAGAGTATATTGGTTAGTGGTAACTACAAAAAATTCAAACAAACATATTTTTTTAAATATTAGTTCACTAATATATATTGTATAAATATTGCAGCCATCCGTTAAAATATCTTGGACATAATTAATAATTATGAATTTTTAAAGAAAGAAGCTTGGCTAGGATAAATATATATTTTAATATTGATGAATGAAAGATATTTCTTAACTCAACTCATTGCACTTACATTTACTAAATGACTTTACCCCTATACAGCTATTTTAATCCCCTATATTATAATCTCTCAAGACACAATCAGCTATTTTCTTATGCCAATTTTAACATATTGACGATCTAGATTCTAGATGTTTTTATAATCCATAGAGATTTCCTTCATAAACACTTAATCAAACTAAATGCATTCTTTAAACCATAATAAATTTGGCTAAATGCAATGCATTATTCCTATTATTTATTATTTTTATTTGGTGTGAAAATGATTATTATTTAATTTACCTGACATGTTGCAAATACCCATTACTAATAATTTCCTGAATCGATGGTGTGGCTGGTCCACATCTGTCTGGTATTGCCAATGGTTCATATTTGTACAGTGGACCTTCTTCTATTATAGGCAATGGTTGTTGACCAGACCCTCTTGTGAATTTTACTCCGCTAGAGAAATGTGTAACCTGTAAATATGTATTAATTGCAACATTAATTGGTGTTAAGGCTGAGAATATGTTATGTATATGTTTATATATACACATATATTGTACAGAAATATGTAAGTTCTTTGGTCCTGGTGCAAAGATTGTTTGTTATTATATACACAAAAAGTTGGAAACCCTTGTTAGATTGTGATGGGTCAACACAAGATAGAAAGTAGGCATTGTATGATTTTCTGGCAAATATATATATAATAATAATAATATGTATATATAATATAATATTTGCCAATAAAATATACATACAATACAAGATAACAGTGTAATTTCAGTTCAATTGCCTAATAAATAATTTCACGTAGGAATCCTTTCTTTCTAAAAATGTATTGCTTTTATTTTTTAAGGAAAGGACACCAACTAGCCTATTAAATACATCAACAACACATCAGATGCAAAATGTTTGCAATGGAAATTTATGAAACGTGCTACTTGAACTCTGCTTAACAAAATATGATGCCATAACAAATTCTTAAGTAACCACTGTTATGTCGAATTACCATGATTCAATGATGATGCTGACTGCTACAGTGGGTAAATAATCAACACATAGTTATGTAAGAAACTTCTATCTTGGACGATCCAAGTTATGACTAATACTATTTTACTATACCATTTTCGCATTCAAAACTCACTTTAGGCACTGGAACAGGTACAATTTCTTCTTGTTTATTTGCTAAACTTTGTGAGAACGTGTTTAATATATCCTTAGCATCCCCGTCAGCAAACATTAATTCATCAATTAATGCTTCTTTTTCTCTTATTTTCTGTTTTTTAGCTTCTTGATCTATTCTTAATACTTCTGTTCTCCTTAAATCTTCCATTTGTTTCTCTATTTCTAATATTTCTTCTAATTCTAATTCTTCCCTACCTAAAATTTTATAGTTTTATTAATATAACTTTTTCCAAACACCAACATGTTAAATACATACTAAAACATTGATACATAAACATTAATATTTTACCAATGTACTATGATAGTACATTGTTAAAATGTACTTTGTGGTGCACCGCTAGGGTCTAAGGGTGGAACTCAAAGTTGAGACTTAGAGTAGTACTATACAGTGGCGCTTTACAAATTTTCAAGGTATAGGCTGTGAAATTTTGCCGCCCTTTCCTATACAATTATCATCTCCAGGATTATTTTTACAACAGTACCTAGTAGTAGTAATATTTCGTTGAAATTGCACATAAAATGTTATTGGGGTTGATTTCTGATTATACACAAACAATCCAGTTCGCAGCCTCCAACCAGTAGTAGGACTGACATGTATGGGTTGATAGAGAGTAGAGGGAAATAAGTTTTATGCAATTTCGCTCTTTTCACTCACTCATAGTGTGAGCTGAGGGTGCAGAGGTCGCTGTTTACTCTAGAATATGGAAGTTAGCAACCGAATGTACTGTGAGAGGGGAAAATCATCAGCAAAATGTGTTGCAGACTTCTGTAAAACATCAGAAAACCGTCATGCAGAAATCTTTTAGATTTCTATGAGGTAGCGAAAAAAATTCATTTCCCAAATTTGCCGCCCCAAAAATCTGCCGCCCTAGGCTCCAGCCTTCTCAGCCTGCTGGTAAATCCACCACTGGTACTATATATGTTAAGACATATGGGAGTCACACACACAGTTTAACGCTAACCCTTGACTCTAAATTTTGCTCTTTAGGCCTCAAATTAAATAAATAAATATTCTTACCAATTTTTGCTTTATTTTTCATAATTAACTCTTTGTTATCTTTTTTATACTGGTCTATTTTTTTATTGGTGTTAATTATATCAATATTATTCACTAAGTTGAAAATTATTGATTCTATATCCTCTAAATAATCATTATATTCTCTTATGGTTGCAAAGTCTTCTTCTTTCTTATTAAAATCTTTTAAAATGCGCTTCCTTATATCAATCTCTTTTTCTACCATTGAATCTTCAAATAACTGTACACGAAAATTACTTCGACGAAGAGGCACATTACAATCAGGGCAAGAGCCAGATCCTGTAACATGTAAGAGTCACTTTAAAATGTATCTGGAATAAATAATTTTAAGTTTTGTGCTTAGTTGAATTTGTTTTTTTTTATAACCAATTATTTAAAAAAAGAACTCAATTTTTTTATTATAAATAATTAAATTCATCAAAACTAAATAAAGACTAGAATATACCTGAAATAACTTACCCTTAAGGAACAATAATTCAACACAACTTTCACACAAAGCATGTCCACAAACGTTGACCATTAATTTCAATGAAGGATTTCTGTATTTTGTTGTTTTACAGCGAGGGCATGCTTGGTCATCCATTTTGCAGTTTATATTATAAACTTTTGAATCTTTAAGATTTGATTGTAACCCAATATCAATTACTGAAATCAGTAAAATATAAAAAGGTATCAAAAAGCGCCGACTTAATTTAATTATGTTTTATCTCTCAGACAGTCATGTAAAGAGTTCAATATTTTTGTTAAAATTTACATTTTATGTATTAAATATCATCAATAAAAACATGAGCAGTATTTATTTTGTAATTTGTGCCGAGTGCCGACTGCTGACCTGACACTTGACAGCTGAAGTTTTTTTTTTTTGAGTTTATGGCCTGGTATCTGACAGCTGAAGTGTTGACCTTAAACACAGATAACTGTTAATGTTTTCAATTTGCATAGCGTAGACGATATCAACTGGTAATCTTTAAAAAATTACATTATTTTGTCGGTAAACTTGTAAGTGGACAGTGTTCATTAGGGGCCAGACATCATTAGTATTATTAACTTTATTTTGAGTATGTTTAGATGATTACTATGTTTTCGGAATTTACACGCATGTATCTTGTCACATCGTTTATACCGTGCACGGTACATAAATCGTAAAACTTTATGTGCAAGTATAGGTCTACCAGAATCTGATGGCAATTTTTTTTTTTTAAATTAGCGATTTTCATATGGCAATAAAAGAAAAATTTCATCTGTCAACTGAAATTTCGAGGAATTGTTTTTGGTTTGGCTTCAAATTTCCTTTAAAAAGTGATGAAAATGTCGAAGAAACCTCTTCGATCGCAAGCAAGACATATTGTTTTCAATGTTTATCAAAGAATACTTGATCAACAAGATGCAGAACATACACAATCATCGATATTGAGCCATGTGCAAGCGTTGACTGGTTAGTAGGAATGACACGTCTTGATACTTTGGTTTATGGGATTCTTCGTGTGTATTATATTATGTACTTATACTAAATTTTGGTTTATTTCAGGGGTTTCTTATACCACAAATAAACTTGGATAGTTTTGATTTAGAATTGATCAGAAACAAGATAAATGAGTTTTACATTGTTTCTTTCTCTCAAATAGGGATCGATGAATAGCGAAAATCTTGTGAACATGTAATAAAAATTTAAAATAAGTTCATAGAACAAGATCGGTTAATTGAGATGCAGGAGGAAAGGTTTATTATAAATACTGCGTTGAAGACTTTTTTATGGATGTGCAGTATTTGGAACCATTTTAAAGTTCTTAATTAATTAATAAACTCATGAACAGAGTAATTGGAGTTTTCATCTAAATTTCAAACCCCACATTCGCCACATTTTCAAAAATTATCATTGGATAAATTTTTATATATTTTGCATATATCACACACAGAATCAGCCGCTATAAGGAAAAAAAAAGTATCAAAACGTTTTACTCCAATTTCCCCAGTATTGCTAGCGTCAATTTCTTTTTTCCCTTTTTGCCATCAGATCCTGGTAGACCTATAGAATCGTTCTTTTAAAGCCCACACCGGGCCATCCGATTTACAAAAAGTTCCCCGAAACTCGAAAGGAATTGAAATATTTTACATCATTTAAAAATGTGGATAAAGGATTGGGTGGGTAATTTAAAAAAAACTAATATGGATAAAAATAAAAGAAAATGTAAGGATATTGTAGGCTAATAGTAGGCATATATGAAAATTTACATACAAATAGTAGTGCAAAAGAAATGCATTTTCTCCATTAGTCCAATTATAAAAAACTAATGTTGAATTCACATTATCGTTATCTTAAATTTACGGACTATTAAAGTAATATAAAATCAAAGACTAATAGTTATTAAAATGTTAAGTATAGCAACAGCAAGCAACAAATTTATAGTTCCAAGTGGTACTTTGATAGATCACTCAAAACAATATAACTACATATTACAGAGTTGAGGCGTTCTAACAAAATAAGGGATTCGTATGCGATGTTTTCGACATTCGGATCGTATAGGCTACATTTATATTTCCAAAGTGTCAAATGTGAGTGTAGAGTATGATAGCTGACAGATAGGTTGTCAATTAAATCAGCTGAAAACATAATAAATTCGAAAGGGCCTATAAATAAACCTATTCTAAAACAAATGTTTACGTTAAAAAATAAATAATATCGGAATTTAAACATTTTGTTAATAATATATAACTAAACAATGAATGCAGTGGTCAGACAAATGGTTACGCAGCAGACGTATAGGTTATGTTATAGAACTTCATACAAATATTTACAAGCTCCCGTAGCCTCAAGATGTTATGTTATTAATCGAAATTATTGTGATAACAAATTAGAAACAAGAAGACTTCCTCAATTGATGGAATTTCCGCCTGTAGTATGGCCATCATTTATAAATTTCATCAAAAACTGGATGTTTTCAACATTTATTATCCGACCTTATTTCGAGCCAGAATTTAGTCTCCAAGAGTTTATAGAAGCTTCTAAACATGCTGTTCAGGTAGGTTTCATGAATGGATTATTAAATAGTACATTTTCGCTTCCAAATTCATATTTTATACCAGGCCTACTTTTACAGGTAGTGTCAGAAGGCCTGCAGAACAGTGATTTTAATAATTTAGATGGTTTGGTAGAAAAGGATGCAATATCCACACTTAAAACAGCCGTGTCACAGTTGTCTATTTCACAGAGGCAATTATTAAGGATAGATAAAGATGATATTTTCTATGCATTTCCATATCAGGTAAGGAGCTTTCTTTTAGTAGAATTATGTTTTACTGAATATGATAACATATTGTAGATATTGAAGCTACCATAAATTATGCAATTTTCACAAAATCTTCAGTTGTTCACCTGCTAAGATAGCCTACAAACAAGTTACAGAAATATACCACCATAATATGGTAATATTTATAAGTTGTATTAATGTAATGTAGTGTGTGTATAAAAATGTAAAAATAACTAAAGAACCCATTAAGATTTTAATGACTTGGTTCCAGGTAGGTGTTATGTTTGATGATGCTGACAAGAGATGGGTGGAGATTACAATGTGCTATCATGTTCTAAGAGGCCTGAAAAGCATGAAAGACAGTGGAGATTTACCTCCTATTACATTAGGGTAATTATTACATTTTTTTTTAATTTATGCAGTGAGTCACTAATATTAACTTAACCTAAATGCATAGTCAATAGTCAGAATAATATCAACTGGCCTATAAAATCTTTTAACATAATATTTGTGTGTGATAATAATATTATGTAATGTGGGACGCATTGAAGATAACATGGAGTTTGTGGGTAGACCATGTTTAAACTCTTATTGGTTTTACCTACATAAATACTGTTGCAGAAATTTCTAAACTAAGAATACTCCGTGGCTAAGATTTTTACAATAACTGGAATAAGTTGAATATAATTTTTTTGATACAGGGGCCAACCAGAATTTGAAGACAAAATATTTATTCTTAACTACAGATTCATTAGAGAGTTCACAAAAGGTGTAGAAGACAGTTGGTGGATTAATATTGTTAATCATTTCCAACCACAAAATCTAAGGAGAAACTAATTTCTTCCTTAAATAATGTAAGCGAAATTTCAAACTAAATAATTTTACATTGTGCTTTGTTATATAGCATCACAATATTTTTTTTCAAGAAAGGCAAGTGCACTTTGGAAGTAGCACTTCTCAAGTTTATTCTTCTTGGGTTCTTATTCAAGATATAATTAAATTTTGTTGGTTTATTTCACTTTGATTACTAATAATACTTTTAATGTATAGAATAGCCCCAATTTTTTGCCATGTTCTCATGTCATAATTATGTGATTTGACACAGTTGACAATAAGGTATATTCATGACATAAATACATTTTAAAATTTTGAACTAAATGCTAATATGTATTAAATATATCTTTCTTATCCTTATATAATCACTACAACAAACAAAACTACAAAAACGAAATATTATTCAGTTACAAAAATAACTATTTTCTTACTCAACAATTTAGTAAGTGTTAATAAAAACAAAATATTTTTAGTTAAAACAGACTGTTAATAGTTAGGATGAAGTGTATATATAAAAAATAAAACAAGTTTGTTTGTACTACTGTTTTTTATTTAATAACTATTTAGGAATATTAAAATATACCATTGTCTGATAAAGGACAAGTAACAGACTGATAAAGTAGAATTATAAAAGTGCATAATTAATTAAATAAAAAAATATCTATATATTTATTAACAATAATATTTAATAAGCTAATTAATAAACTAAGCTTTGCTTAGTAAAATTATAGATGAATAGGCACATATTATATATATTATTATTTATATACAGGGTGTCCCAAAAGTCGACGTCAAGTCGAAATTTTCTCATAGGTAATGCCAAACCAGTTATCAGAAAAAAAAAAATTAAGTCATGTATTTTTGAAGTTATGTAAATTTTCCTTTTATTCCAGAAAATGTACATCATGTGACAGTTTTTTCATTCCTGTTGTTACAAATATTTACTTTTTGCCAATTTATTTTCTCCTACGTCATTCCGAATAGTGCTTTATGTAACCTATCATCCTAAACCCTGTGCCGATTACTCCAACTTGTAGGAAAATGTCATTTTATACCGTACCAAGTTTTCAAAATTAATTTATTACCATGGCTACGTACACTACACAGGAATATGCTAACATGCACCTCATTTATTTAGTGCGTGTGTCAATAGCAATAAGTAGCGTCACTATCTGTCTCGCTCACACTTTACGCCATCTTATTTAAACCACGCTGTGGTTATTAGGAACGCTTTGGGTACACTAGAATCGTTTTTTGTAATTCCAGAGAAATTTTTAAAAAACAGACTTTGTTTAACAAAATTTTTTTTTATGGCCGATCTAAGAAATAATGAAGTAAGTATTATACCACGTTAGAATCCTTATTAAATGCGCGAACTTTTAAAGCTGCTTGCCAAACTGGAGTAGTTCATTTTTTTTTCAGGACGATCAGTTGAACTAGTGCGAAAAATTAATTTTGAAAACTTGGTACGGTATAAAATGACATTTTCCTACAAGTTGGAGTGATCGGCACAGGGTTTAGGATCATAGGTTACATAAAGCACTATTTGGGATGACGTAAGAGAAAAAAAATTGGCAAAAAGTAAATATTTGTAACAACAGGAATGAAAAAACTGTCACATGGTGTACATTTTCTGGAATAAAAGGACAATTTCCATAACTTCAAAAATACATGACTTAATTTTTTTTTAATTTTTCTGATAACTGGTGTGGCATTACCTATGAGAAAATTTCGACTTGACGTCGACTTTTGGGACACCCTGTATATATATATTACATACATTATTAACTAGTCTAAAAAATATCACATTGATCATTAAATTCTTCACATGCTTTTCTAAGCCTGTCCAATAATTCAGCATTCGATTCTGAAAGTTTAATATTTTATGAAAGCAATTTATTTTTACTATTAGCAAAGTTTACGTATAGTAACTACGTATACGTATAGTAAGTTTACGTATATATATATAATAAATAGAAGAAAAAATCTAGATTTCTTTGTCATATTCTGTCAAGTCTTTCTTAATTTATAACTTTCATATCAGTTTTTCATTACTTGAAAAATATAATATGTTACCTTTGACTGGGTCATAAAGAGATCTCTTTGAAACTCCACATTGAACTTTGATTGGCCTTTGTTTTTTTGTACAACTTTCTACATCTGAAAGGAATAATTATAATATTAATTTATTTGTTTAGATTTACAACTGTTAAACTACTAATAATATATATATATATATATATACATATTATAAAGGTCTAATTGCCCAAATCTTTTTTTAAAATAAGTAGGGAGAGGAGAAATACATGAGCGCTATTCTAAATATTATGATTTTCAATTACTTAGCACAAAACAATCACCAACCTGCATGAACATTATCTAGTAATGTACAGACATCAACATAATCAGTCAATCTTGAACACAAAGAATTAACATATTGACTGGCTGCAGGCACAATTTTATCTGTATCTCCTGTTTTTAGTTCATAAGTTACATCATTATCAATTGTTGTTGAGCATTCTATTTGCAATACTTCGTATGCAGCTTTTGATGATTGAGTTGAATAGCTAACTAATAAATTGCTATGTATTGCATACTCTTCTATACAACATAATGAACTAAATATATTTGGATTTGTTTCTCTGAAAAAATAGATAATTAAGTTGATTGAGTAGACATATGTCCAGACATATCATGGAAAAAATATCATAAACATAAATTCACAACAATCAAATTTTTTCTGTGAATACCATTTTCTTGTGTCCAAATCATATTTGTTACTTTTTAATACTTCTCTTTAATCTTAATTTTAAATAATGATTCCTGCTAGCTTAAAGAAAATCTTGTCTTAATGATATACATGTGATTAATATGGTTTTTAATTAATAAGCATTACCTATCCAAACACATTCGGCACATATCCATAATTAAGATGCATAGTTCTGGTTTACATTTATACACTTCTCGTAACAACCAGTTTTCAGTAACACAATGACTTAAGGATATGTTGTCTGTTGGACAATCAATGCCTAGTAAGCATTTTGTATTGCACAACTCACAACCATGGCCTGCGTAAAAGATGAAACCTGAAAGGTATTGGAATAGACACTACATATTAATTATTTCATTAAACCATTAATTCATTTTACACTGTATAAAGGTAAATTATATAAACATTCACAAGGCAAATTATTGTTATACAGAAAAAATGTTATAGTTATCTCTTTTAAATATCCTTATCTGTAGGAAATACTATTTGTACTTACAGTATGAATCTTCTGGAATTAAATCAATAACTTTTGTGATATTACTTTTTAGTGTGCTACTAGTAGAATTCCTTATAATTACTGTGATAAATCCCAAATTTCTCAGATTTGAAGCCAATGATTCACAATCTATTGATGGAGTTGCCAATTTTGATAAATGTTCATATTTATCGTTGGCTATTAATATTGCAACTTTTGATTGTGGTTTATAGTATGTTGTAATAGTTTTTGTGTTTTGAGCTGTTATAAGAAGTTCTTTGTATTCTTGCACTGAATAGCCTTTACGGTCTAAATACTTTAACAGCAGTTCACCAGCAATTTTTGTTCCATCAAATGTTATTCTAAAAAAACGTTTGATGTTAGAATTTCGTTAAATGACTGGTTATCAATACTGAATAATAACAAGATTTCATAACTCTGTATGATTTGTACATTTATGTAACTTCATAGACATATATTATTATATACCCCAATAATAAGTTCCAGGATAAGAAAGGTAAAGTAAAAATGACAAAATATTTATGAGAACTCCGCACACGAATAATGAATTATATAAAAAGATATTATTATTTATCCAAACATACTTTAAATCCGCTAGTCTTGCAATAACCTCGCATTGATATGTGCTAAGATTTCTTATAGACTTGTAATCTTGGTAAGAAAGAGTTTGCAATAAAGACATTGTGATACTTTCTCACACATACTATGTTTTAATTTGCTAAAATCTAATTTTTTTTGTTGTACAAAACTATCCTAAACAAAACCCTAACACGAAATCAAAACAAACATGACAATTGTCATTAGGGTATTATTGTTTTGAAGACCAGGGGGCCTTAGTCAAGATGCCTTAACAGTAGTGTATGTAGAAAGTCGAAAACTTAATTTGTATGGAAATGACAGTTCGTGTCGAAAAGTTTTCATACAAATTTAGTTTTTGACGTTCTACATACACTACTGTTAAGGCATCTTGACTAAGGCCCCTGGCTGATGGACTAAAGTCCTTTGCCTTTCCCATTAGGGATAAATTTATATCATTAATTAGTTTTAATAACATAAATTATTGGACTCGAAAGCAATCTCTTATTAGTATTGATTACTCATTTAACAAATCTATACAGTTCTTTTTATATGAATGGAGACGATATAGAAATATATGCTGCTTTGTCAGGATATCTAGGTCGATAACTTCATGACATTCTATTTACCCTCCAGATTCAGATCTCTGATAAAATTAAACATTTAGTCGATATGTTTAAATTCTAGCTTAGCTTTAATGCTGCTTGGTTACTATGCAGTATTTGAATGCAATCGTTTTATAATCAGTAGTAGTTTATTATCAGGTTGCTAAACAAGGATTTTAAATGTCACTTCCTTTGCTATTCAGAATTCAGCCTCCCCTGTTAAAGATGTAAAGAGCAATAATTTCAAATAAGATTTTAGTATGGAAGATAACTGTCGTTTCCACGATACTTAAAAAAATCTTTTGTAAAAAAAATAAGATATGCGTTTTAGCCTCTCAGCAATAAAAAAGTTTTTGGCTAATTTAATTTCTTATTATTTATTGTGAATATCCATACTGAGAAATTTTATATTATTAGGAAACACAAAAGATTAGAACGTGTAGGTACATTAGACTTTTAAAATCTACCGAGGTTAGGTTAGTAACAAGTCCGTTCACACGAGGTCTCGAAATAAAAGTGAGTCAACGCCGGTGTTGCCATGCTTTATATAGGTTTCTGCTACAAGATGGCGTTAGTCCGCTAACACGGCCTCTCCTGACACCCTGACGTCCTCGTCAGGATTTGATGTCCCGTCTATACTGTCATCTATGTGGGTAGAATAGAACGTTAGAAAATTACAGTTCTGGGAAGGTATTCCGTCGTCTTTTTGGTCAGCAGCTGAACATATTTACATGGTTTCATACAAACAATCAAAGTAATGAAAGATAGAAAGGAACTTTAAAGTATCAGACTCCAAGGAATGAGTGAAAGATTATTTATAACCCTTACAAGATTTGAAACAAACTATCACTTTCATGTGTAAAGGACTTGTGTAAACAATTACAAGTTAAGTGTCACCATAAGGTATAAAGGTGTACTTATTTCTCAAGAAGATCGTGAGTTTGGGGCTGGTTACCCTGTCCATTGATCTTTTTACCATTCATAAAGGAAGATCGTGAGTTTGGGGCTGGTTACCCTGTCCATTGATCTTTTTACCATTCATACAGGAAGATCATGAGTTTGGGGCTAGTTACCCTGTCCATTGATCTTTTTACCATTAATACAGGAAGATCATGAGTTTGGGACTGGTTACCCTGTCCATTGATCTTGTTACCATTTATACAGGAAGGTCGTGAGTTTGGGGCTGGTTACCCTGTCCATTGATCTTTTTACAATTTATACAGGAAGATCGAAAGTTTGGGACTGGTTACCCTGTCCATTGATCTTTTTACAATTTATACAGGAAGATCGTGAGTTTGGGACTGGTTACCCTGTCCATTGATCTTTTTACCATTTATACAGGAAGATCGTGAGTTTGGGGCTGGTTACCCTGTCCATTGATCTTTCAAAAAGCAAATATTACAGAATTAGATAGCTTCAGACTTAACACAAATAAAGATAAAACTCAGTATATTTGCAATACACCGTCGTATCGACAGTGGCTCCTAGTGCTCTCATAAGCGACAATTTTTTAAAACAGAGACTCATACATTTTGCATGTTCTCTAAGTGGTCTAAACACATTAGCACCAGAAAAACTTAAAACAGAGACCCATACACTTGTATGTTCTCAAAGTGGTCTAAACACATTAGCACCACAAAAATTTAAAAGAGAAACCCGTAACTTTGCATGTTCTTGATAACAAAGACCAGATCATCCTTCTGGAATTTACAAGTGGGGGTCTACGACCCACATTAACGACAGTGTCCTGATTGATTTGACTGTTCTTCAACCGTTCGGCCGTCCTCTGTCAAAGCATCTCTCGTCTACCTTGCCGACTAGACGATCCCGAATTTAATGCGACACTGTTGCACTCTCATGACAAACACAAACAACACTTTAACACAAAGAGCACTTTTAAAATGTTAATCACTCGTGACTTCGTACATTACGGACACAAAGAGAAGGAAAATTTAAACCAAAGATTTAAATTTTCCTTCTCTTTGAAGAAGATTACTCAAAACAAAACAAAAGAGAAGTGAGCGAAAAGTTCAAATCCCAATACTGATATTAGGAAACACAAAAGATACGTGTAGGTACTTTAGACTTTTAAAATCTACCGAGGTTAGGTTAATAACAAGTCCGTTCGCACGAGGTCTCGAAATAAAAGTGAGTCAACGCCGGTGTTGCCATGCTTTATATAGGTTTCTGCTACAAGATGGCGTTAGTCCGCTAACAATATAATAATACCTAAACAGAAAATATTATTTCGATGTCTGTACATTGCATTCCTGCATGCTTGTCGAAATCAAAAGATTGGTACATATTTGAAAAATGACTAAGTGTTTTTCTTCATATATTTCCAATATCGGCTCATGAGCTTTTCTTTTACAAGATTTTCATGAGTATTAATTTCAAAAAACATTATGTCAGTATATCTCTGCTTCGTTGTATTCGGTTTATAGAAAAGAGGTATTTTCACACATATACCTGCACAGTAATAAATAATACTATAATATCTAGAAAAAAAACTTAGGACTTCAGTATTCGATCTTCTGAAATACTTTATAACATCGTCCAATTAATAAAATGGTTAGACATGTGCACCGAATGGCGAACGATAGAAGCAAAGGTTCTTACTAATCTCTCAACCTGGTGGCAAGAGAAAACCCGATAGACGGAGGCTGCGTTGGAGTTGTCGAGGACCTCGAAACTATAAACGAGATATACTTGAGAAGGGCCATAAGGCTATACAGCTATTGATGATGATGATGACCTATATCACTATTATTAAAACGCCTTGATTAGAAAATAATTTATTGATTAAAATGGACAAAAGTATTCCGTCTAGATAAATAAATTCTCATTCAAATCTTTTTTCAAAATTATTCAAAACAAATTTGTTGTAATAAAAGCTTTGAATTTCGAAAAGATTTATTTCTTTCACCTGCTTTGTGAAATCTAAACAAAGTTTCTTAAACTCTGCCCGTTCATCATCAAATGTAGTGGATATATTCAAAGGCATTACAGATAGTGCTAAGAGCGTGTTATCAGTTCCTCATGCAGAGTAACTCTTTACAAACAAAAGCCAATAATAAATGTCCATTGATCGATAGCAAAGAAGACATTTTCAGTAATGTTTGCGTAATAACAGTTACTATGCTGTTGTAAAAAATAGTAAAACAATTGTTATTGTTTTTCAGATCATTCATAAAGAGAACTAACTCCATCGTTACATAATTGGATGCACGATTAATGTCCGGGTCTTCATTTTCCAGAGTTATCACTTTTTTACTAATAATCAAAATCCTTAGATCCATAATAGTCATATAAATTTCTCTTTCAAGAGTGAGATCAAGAACACAACTCAAAATTGTTTCGAATATCTGTATATTGTACTTACTAAATTTGTAGGCACTAAGCTCAGACCTTTCTTTTACTTTGTCTATGATAATAAATGAGTTTTTATTAACAACATAAGGATTATTAGAAACTAAACTCCACTGTTTATACGATTCTCGTAAAATAATTTCTAGCAATTGATGTGATTTTGAACTGTCATCAAGTGTTTTACTGGCAACAATGTATGTTGCAGCTACATTCCAAAGACAGTCGTTACACGAACTTTCGAGATCTGTATAAGTTTTTTCGATTCCCTTTTCTATTAGCATTATATTTATGTGGTCTTCAATTTCTTTTAAAACAAACTCCCGATTCATGCAATCCATGTGTTTTTCAATGTCATTTAATAGTTTATTTTTGATCGTCATATTTTTTGTTTTGTTTGGTAATTGTTTAACTGATATCCATGCGGATTCTAAATAATCACCTTTGAACCTTTTAGGCATTTCATATGACACTAAGAGGTCGAAAACTTCTTGTTGATCTTCGTCATAAAGAGTTAAATTCAACTCTCGTATTACATCGTATAGTTCATTTTGTGTCTCTTCATTAGATTTAATAATTTTATCGAAAAGAGATTTGTAAATGATCATACGTAGAGATACATTCTTCGTGTTTTTCCAAACGTTAAGAAGAAGATTCTTTAGGTTTTCCGCACTAAAAGCTGTAAATGCTAAGCGGATACCATGTTTCTGCACGGATAATGGAGCATCTAAAATGCTCTCGATGAATTCGTGACATAGTGGCATTGTTAGATTAGCCAAATACCTGTTAAACATTGGTAAACAAAAATGTACATAATCTCCCTTGATATAAGGAAGAATAGTCGATACGGGAACGGGCAATCTTGCATAGCAAGCGTAACGACATATTGCTTCTTGAATAGCTAAAAGTTTTTTATCAATCGTGCTGTGATCAATCTTAGATTCTTTTGGAACATTTTCCAATAATAGTTTGAGCATGTTTTCTTCGTTTCCAATGCTAAATATGGCATATACTGAGTTTTGTATAAGTTTACGATCGTCAAAATCGTTGCGTTCTACCTGTTGCATGTTAGCTAGCCAACTTTCGAAAAATTCTAGAAATAGATTGCCCAGATCTTTGGAATAATAAATCTTTATCTTCTTTAGGAACTTCGTTATACTATAATTCCATTCCTGTTCAATACAAGATTTTATTTCAGGTCGCAATTCAACAATTGTTTTTATTTCTTCATCTTTTTTCAACAATCGCAACAGACAATCGTCTGTTAATGTCTCTAAACGATACTCTGGAGACTCTGGATCTTTTTCAGATTTCTTTTGATTGTCTTCATATTTTTTATCTTTCAAAAAATCGTCGTACCGAAAATGACAGTATGTAGAATTCATAAAACAAAGAACTTCTTTTGGCAGATTTTCTTTTGTTATTTTGAAACATTGAAGAAGATTTTTCAAGTAGAGCGCATATTTATTTCTGCTTCTCACTGTTTCATCATGATCCCATTTAATAGAATATTTGAATTTTTTATAGTAATAACCATAAAAATAATCATAGACAGATTTCTGTTCGTCGGGATTTAGATCGTTTAATTTACGTTTTAAACAGTTCATATCCATACTTTTATCAATATAGTCCATTAAAGTGGAATCCATTTCTATACCACGAATTATATTATGTATTGCAAAATAGAATTTGTATGAATTACAGAACTTACAGCCTGGGGTAGCTGTTTCAATACTACATAGTATTTTATTGAATACATTCCAAGTAGGTTCATCGCATTGAAATATAAAACTTGTTTTTATTATTATACCCTCCAAAAAGTCTCTTTTGTAATTAACATTTTCATTATTATGTCTCTTATAATAATAGTTTATTAAAGTCTCTAAATCTTCTTTGGTCCTTATTGAATCTATTAAAACCATAATCATTTTACTCCTCATGCCAGGATCGGGTGTAATAAGAATATATTTCTTAATGTTTGGGAAAGCTCGAGTAAAGTTCACAAATTTATACCAAATATAATCATTATTTGTTCCCAATATCTCTTTGGCTTCTTCTATATGCTTCAGGGCCCACTGCTCCTTTTCTTCTTGTGTTAGAAAATCGTAGTATTTGTGATAGTAAAATTTATAATTCATTTCGAATGGTACATCACCATATGTCTTATGAAATATTGTCTTCAGGAATTTGTATGTCTCATCAGAAGGAATAAGATTAAAAAGATCTTTATTATGTGCGTAGAAATTGTATTCCCAAAACCTTGTTAAAGTTGGCAAGAGGGCAGGGATATATGTTTTTACGTCTTCGGCTGTAGAGTAACGAAGTAATATATTTCTTTTAACTTTATTCACGTACATTAAGGGTAATCTTAGCACGCGATCCTTATGTTTTGTCATTATATATTTCGAGAGTCGGCATCCTATCCAGACAGATGCATGTTCTGGCATAACATATTTTTCTAATAAATCTAGATATTTATTCTCGTCCACGTGGTACAGATAAGCAAGCTTATCTATAAAATCTTCTTTCTGGAAAATGTAATGTTCAGTAGTAAGATATCCTTCAGCGAGAGCAAAAGAATTTCCAATGAACAACGGTGGATACCCGTGTTTGCTTAAGTAGGAGCAATCTTCTTTGATTAAGTTAAGTTTAAAGGCTTCCGATGTAAATAAGAAGAATTTCAACGCTAACGATTTCATCTTCATGTTTTTGCAATAATTTGAGAATGCTTCATTTCTAGATTCTTTCCTCAGGTGATACGCAAGTTTGTTCAGCAATTTAGTTTTCATTTTAATAGACATCAAGGGAAAGACTTCATTGTGAAGATAGTCTGGATTCATAAAGTGGGAATATTCGTCATTAAATATCCAATCACAATTAAGAGCTCGCGAAATCAATAAACTATCGCCGCATTTTAGAATTTCTATAATATACTCAATATTTCTATATTCTGATGCAACGTCAATTTTAAAAAGCTTGTCCACGTCGGACTTCTCTTCCGTTGACTTAATATCATCGAAACATATTTTTTTCTTCACAGTCTCAGCCACTTTGAAGTTGAGCTCCCGTTGCCGCTGCCCCAAAGAAGACGCAGTTAATTCAATCATTTTTTTACCTGAAAATAATTTTTAATAATTAATATTCGTTAGACAATCGCGATCGTGAATATTTTTTATAATTTTTTGTTACAGTAAGTTCTTATTAAGTAGTTTCGTACAAATATTCGAATATAATATATTAAAAATTATAAACTTTCTTATGTTAATAACTAAGTTTTTAAAATACATGTTCAAGTGTTCAGAGTTAGTAGTAATAGATAAAATATTCAAAAGTTATCCCATTTGATAAATTAGTTAGGAATAAGAAATTAAGTTCATGTTTCATTATATCCTTAAAATATATGATGATAGATTTAATTTACTTTTCTTTAATTTAATTTACACACGTGACTTTACACTTAGATGTCCTACCTGGCGGACACAGACGGCTGTTCACCTACTTGCTTATTTTAATCACACAATTTAACATAGGTATATACTATATATGTTAAACTTCATATAGAAAATGAAACTATGTACCTACTTGAACAAGGATTTAAGTTTGCTTTCATTTCAAAATGACATGGAAATTAATAAAAAATACTAATTTCTAATTGATAATTGTCGTAAACAATACATTTTAATAAATTACAACAGACAAGAAGATATAAAAAATTAAGTTTTTATAGTTTGTATATTACGCGTTTGATAAAATAAAGAAAAAGCAATTCTAATTTGAGACTAACATTAAATAATTTTTACATACCAACTAGGGATGCAAATACCTATTTCTAGTCAAAATCCGTTCTTCCAATATAAAGGCACGCCGATTCATTTATAAAATCGTAACTTTGGCTTGCAAATTCGCATCCAGGCATGAACGATGATATCATCGTTATCGGGAGGAGGAAAAAATATAAATAAGGTATAGGGTAATATAGATACCTATAAGATTTGTATTACGCAATATTTCATATTATTTCACTTTGGGTTTTCAACTTTAATTTTTTTATTGGTTTAATTAAATATATAACTAATAATGTAAATAAAATTTAGCATTATATGCATGTTTATGTAAGTTTCATTAATAGGTACAGCAAAAAACACATTTTCAATGGAATTATATTATTAAAAAATAGTTTTTTAATTAACATAGGGCTTAACTTTGATATTGAAAAATATAAAAAAAAAAATATTTACACCTAAGGTTTAAAAATCTTTGTGATTTCTTCAACCCAAAATGTTTGTACTTAATATAATATTTAAAATAAAACTTATTAACCTTACTTCCTCTTAAGATTTTCACAAGACTTCTGAGATAAATTTGAAGTTTTAACTTTTATTGCACTACTGCACAAGACAAGTGCTCTACAACAATCTACATTCTACAGTAACTGTACAGTAATAAAAAATTACAGTAATAAACTACACTTGCATCTAATATAAGGCATAGAGCTTTCCAGTTTCCACATCCTACACATTCCTTACTCAGAGCAAAATTAATAAGATTTAATTTCTTTGAGGTAATCGGTAATTTATACTATCATTGTAGTGGTTTTAGTTTACGTTTACTAAACAAGATAATATTATGATTTAAGAAAATTTCTTTTACAACAATATTAAAACTACTCGAAATGTAGACAAGCGCATATTGATTATAGGATGGTTGATTTAAAATAATTTTGGTACAGTCTAGAATCTAGACTGTCTATAGTACCCTAATTATAATGTACTCTATGGTCGAAACATAATGTATTATGTGTTCTTTGGTTTTAAGATTGGAAGTTGGAAAGGATCTAGAACACAGTTCTCATGATTTAGTAATACTACGAATTCTATTACGGCGCCTGTACATGCTCAAGACAGAGAGCCAATGTGTTTATAGTAGTCTTGTATCAACAATTTAGAATTTATGTGATTTGTGTTTATATTCAGAGTTTAGACTTAGCGCTAATTCTCGAATCTAAATCTAGGAATAGGATATGGTCCTCGCTATTACGAGTCTAACTTCTCACATCAGGTTATTTCGAGCATTATTCATATTTGTTAGTAATAGATTATTATATAAAAAATTGGCGATGAACTTCAATATCGTCGGATATATTTTAATGAAATTGATATTAAACTTGTTCTACACTGGCAATTTCTTATCTGTACGATATTAACCATTAATCTATAGCACAACAATTGAAATATCAAATAGAGACCGATTCTTGGCGGGAACTCCAAATGTGGCGGTCGATTTAATTATCTTTACTGTTTTTCGTTAAAATATCTTGTGTAAATATTACCAAAACTTATTCAGTCAGTGTAAATAATTGTACATTTTATTAATTATTAAAATGAATGAACCGGAGGATCCAGGTGGAACCCCGAAACGATCCAAAATTGTTCGTAAAAGAGGTGCGAAGGAATGTGGACCTGAAGTAGGCGGTGGTGAGGATGACTTTATTCCGTTTTTTAAGCCAGGTTATCTGAGACTTTATCCTGAACATTGTACAAATACGGACTTCAAAGTTTTTGTTGAAAGCCAGGACCAACAAGTTAAACTTGGAAATAAAAGCCCAGTTTACTTAAATCATATTTTTACTTCGGAGGTGAAAGGTGTGGTAGCTCTACATAGAGTCAATGCCAATAAAATTGCGGTTGTTTTTAAACAATACAACACTGCAAATAATTTCATTACTAATACCGAATTTTTAACAAAACACAACTTGAAGGCACATATTCCTGCAGCGCAGATAGAAAAAACTGGAATCATCCGATATGTGCCTACCAACATTTCAAACAAGGAATTATATACCAAACTGTCTTCGATATATGAAATTATTTCAGTGAGAAGGTTCATGAAAAAAAGTCGGTCAAAGTACTGTAGGTCTTGAGACTGTCAGTATAACTTTTTTGTCAAATGTTCTACCTGACAACATACAATATGACCTATTTTCATTCAGGGTATTTGAATATGTCCCGCCGTTGCAGCAATGCTTCCGGTGCTTCAAGTTCAACCACCCTGCAAAAATTTGTAACAGTAAACAACGTTGTTCAATATGTGCTGGTGAACATAATTACAGAGATTGTGACAAAAAGAGATATTGTGTTGTGTAAATTGCAATGGCCCTCACCTGGCCATTTCCAAAACTTGCCCGATAAAAGTTAAAAAAATTCTTGAAAAAAAGGGTAACATTACTTATGCCTCTGTGGCCAATACAATTAAAACATCTGATTTTCCGTCTTTACCTGCACAGTCGAGCAGCTTTGTTAAGACCCAACCAATAAGCCAAAATGTAAATAAATTAAATAAACATGTAAATAATGTAAATAAAACTGTGCCTGAACCCAATTTGAACCAAACTCAGCTTAAGGCTCAAATTGCAAACAATAAGAATATTCTGATGGCAATGGTCCAAACTTTAGTTGAATTAGGTAATAAAACAGATAATGAACCTGTGACTACACTGTTCATTAAAGACTTACTTTTAAAAAATCTGTCACAATAATGGATAGTACAGTACAGAACATACAGCAATTATGTATAGCTCAGTACAATATTCAAAGTATACATAGGAAAAAACCCTTATTGTCTAAATTTTTAGCTGAACAAAATGTTGATATCTGTCTACTCAATGAAACTTGGCTGAAAGATACTCAGCAATTTAAAATTTCGGGATATAATTTCCACTATCATAATGCCCAAAACGAGCACGGTGGAGTAGCAATTTTGATCAAACCGTATTTTAAATACAATATTATTCAAACCAGATTTTACCAAGACATCCAGACTGTGGCATTATCGTTATATGTAAGAGGTAACAACTTAACGATTTTATGTGTATACTGCCCTCCCTCGAATAGTAACTTCAGAATAAGTAAACTGCGTGATATAATTAGAGATTTGCCTAAGCCAATATATGTAGCTGGAGATTTCAACGCTCATCATGTGGCATTTGGGTGTATGACCACGAAAAGTCGGGGTCATCAGTTATACGATTTAATTGATGAATTTGATCTATGTGTCCTTAATAATGGTAACTTCACTACTATTAATTATCCTAACCGAAATCCATCGGCTATTGATGTCAGCTTTTGTAGTGCTCCAATCACTCCACTATGCGAATGGTGGGTGCATGATGATTGTATGGGGAGCTATCATTTTCCTACACTTACTCGTGTTTTATTGTCCGTTGATAGATACCAAATTAATCCTCCCATTGAAAAATTCTTATACAACAAGACAGACTGGACGAAATACAATGAGCTATCTATATCTGCTTTTTCAAATTTTGAAGTTAATAATGAGAATCCATTACAGTCATATGACGAATTTATCGAAAGGCTTGTTACACTTAAGAGGGATACTGTGCCAAAGTTTGTCAAATCAAATAACTATCGTTGCAAACCTCCAGCACCTTGGTGGAATGACACTTGTGAACAGAGTGTTATTAAAACTTATAAAGCTTTAAAACTGTACAGAAGGGATCCAACCATTGATAATTACATTAATTACAAAAGACTTGATGCTGTTAAGAAAAAGACTATTTCAGAACATAAACGCAATGGTTGGGCTAACATCTGTAATACTTTTAGCAGAACTACACCTGTTAGTATTATTTGGAAATACATCAAGTTATTTAAACGAATAAAATGTAATAATAGAACATATAAAGACGAATTTGTTGTCCCTCTCTTAGAAAAATTATCTCAAAATGAATGTAGGGTTATTGATAATCTAGAAAGTTATTTTCAAATTAATAATAGCATTCAGAAGTCCAGTTTCCTCATAGAACCCTTTACTTGGAGTGAGTTTTGTACGAGTTTACAATCCAGACGAAACACAACCCCTGGTTTAGATGATTGTCCATACATTTTGATCAAAAACCTAAATCAGTCTGTTCAAAAGAAACTATTAGCTAATCTTAATGCTCTTTGGCACTTAAAAAAAATTCCTGAATCTTGGAAAACACAGTGTGTAATCCCTATACTTAAGCTTGACAAGCCACCTGAAGATCCTAACTCATATCGTCCCATATCATTGTCATCTTGTGTTGGAAAGCTGAATGAAAACATGATAAAGATGCGTCTTGAGTGTTACGTAGAGGCGAACAACATCATTCCACATGTTCAATATGGCTTCCGGAGAGGGCGAAGTTGTGCTGACAGCTTCATCTCTCTCTTGTCAGATCTGAAATATGCCAATAATAATAATAAGTCCAGTGTTTGTGTTTTTCTGGATGTTCAAGGTGCGTTTGATAATGTAGACCCTGGCATATTGGTTCAAGTTCTTTCTGACACTGGTATACCAGGTATACTTTGCCATTGGTTATTTAATTTTTTAACAGATAGAACTTTGTATATAAGGCATAATAATATTCTCCATGGTCCCAGAAGGGTCTCCAAGGGTACAATGCAGGGGGCTACATTATCTCCATTGTTGTATAATGTATATACTAGTCAAATTCTTAATTTTGTAAATATAGAAGGTGTACATATTTTACAATTTGCGGATGATCTTGTAATATATTGTACAGACCATAATGTAGATAGAGCTGTTAATAGTATAAATAAGGCTTTAGATCAATTGTACATATATTATAATGACAGGCTGGCTCTACAGATTAACCCCAACAAAAGCAAGGCCATGATTTTTAGTAAAGATTTTCCCTCTAATGGCATACTCTACAATAATCATTCAATATCAGTTGTACCTAACCATAAATTCCTGGGAGTTGTCATTGATAACAAACTTTGTTTTGATTTACATATTAATCACATTATAACTAACTCTCTTAAGGGCTTAAATATAATAAGATGTTTAGCTGGTGTGACTTGGGGTGCAGATCCCAAAGTTTTAAGTATGTTATATAGATCTATAGTCAGAAGCCACTTCGACTACAGTTGTTTAGCCTATTCAAATAGTAGATGTGTAAAAAAACTAGACATAATTCAAAACAAAGCCCTACGAATTATTTCTGGGGCTATGTGTTCAACTCCCATACGAGCTATGGAAGTTGAAACCAAAATAATGCCACTGTGTATTAGAAGACTTCTGCTAATAGAGAGATATTTACTAAAGCTGTTATCTGGTAATGATAATGTTCTCAAAAAAATAGTGCATTTTCCTATACAATGTTCGGCCCAGCAGACATTGAGAGGTGAGCTTTTACGAGGTTATTTCCCAGTTCTGCCTCTCATTGTAATGCAAATGAATGAAGATTTTAAAAATGTAATTAAACAATCAAAGTGGACATGCTACTCATACCCATATTCCTGCATTATATTTGAGACCACTATTGTTACTAAAAAAATTTTTAATAATTGTGAATTATTAAGTTTTCTTTCTGACAATAACTACTATACTTTGTATACAGATGGTAGCAAAAGTGAGCTCTTTGTGCGCAGTGCTGTTTATGATCCCCAATCCAAGTTTGGTCAAAGTTTTCTTCTGGACCCTAAATGCAGTATTTTCACTGCAGAGGTATATGCGGCCCTCGAGGCCTTGAAAATAATCGCACATATAAATAGTTTTAATAATTTTTTAATTTTAACAGACAGTTTAAGTATGGTCCAAAGTTTAACCAATCTCAGATTTGACTATAAAAAAAACTATATTTTGTATGATATTAAAAAATTGTTATTTAGTTATGCACAAAAGGGTATACAGGTCTCTTTCATGTGGATTCCATCACATAGGGGCATAACAGGAAATGAGATAGTAGATAAAATTGCACGTGATGGAATCAACATGTTGGATGTTAGCTCTATAGTAAAAGTACCTTTGACCGACTGTTATCAATCTATTGACAACCAGGTCAATAGTTTATGGGGGGTCGAATTTTGGAAACAAGACCAAGAACAAAAGGGTAAATGGTATGGAAATGTTCAAGCAAACCTACCTGTAACACCATGGTATAACAAACTGAAAATGGCCAGTCGGGACTTTATTACGACTATAAATAGACTGCGTTTTGGACACTCCACCGTCCCGGCCCATTTGGCTCGGTTGGGCATAGTGGAGAGCAGCTACTGCACCTTCTGCAATAATTCTGTTGGTGATATCGAACATTTCATATTTACATGTAAGTGCTTTTCATTTGACAGATTGATTCTTGTTAGTGAAATTAGTGACACAGTGCAAAATCAAGTGACAGTGCAAGATCCCTCCCGCCGCCTGAGTGATATGTTAAAAAATAGATCCTATTACGTGCCTCTATATAAATTCATCAAAAATACAGTGGGGAAATTATAATAAACCGAATAAAAATACTCAAGACTTGGCCTAAAGGTCTAGATACCAGGCCATAAACTCCAAAAAAAAAAAAAAAAAAATATCAAATAGAGAAAATGGCGGTTGTTGAATTTCCGTAATCAAAAGTAATTGTTTCTTCTGAATTGTTTAGTAGGTATAGCAAGTAACAAACATTACCAGAAAAGTACTTTTAAATGAAAGAGTTGATAGATAGCTTGACATATTACCAATGAGTTTTTAAGTCAATAATAGTGCATTTAATCCCAGCGAAACCGTGAGCATCAGACAGTCAGACACATTGTAAACAGATTTTGGGTTATTTAGTGTGATTTATTATAAAAGTTCTTTTCCAACATGATTCGCTATGGTATTACGAGTTATATATTATTATAATATACAGGATACAAGCATTTGCTCGTAGATTACGAGCATTAATGAGAAATGTTTTGATTACAAGTAATATAGATATAAAATGGGTGAAAAGGAGGGATTTAATACCCTAGACTTTGAAAAGAAGTTGGCTCAGTTGAAGGATACACAGGAAGCTATTCAGGGACTTTCATCTTGGTGTTTAAAACAACGGGCGCATCATAAGAAAATTGTATCAAGTTGGTTAAATGTGCTGAAGCGTGTGAAGGTGGAGCAGAGATTAGTACTATTTTATTTAGCTAACGACGTTATTCAATATAGTAAAAGAAAGAATTATGAATTTGTTGAAAGTTGGGGCCTTAATTTGCAAAAAGCTACACCACTTGTCAGGTTGGTACTATGTTTACTTAATTTAAAGTGGACTATATAAAATGCTTTATAATCTAATGATTATATTTGTCAGTTGTATCAACAAAACAAAACAATATGGAAGACACTTATTTTATGAATGTTTGTTACTGTGCACATTTCACTGTTTTCTACTTTACAATAATTGCTTATTTACTTCTAGACCCCATTCAGTTATAAAATCTCCCAGTTATAATGTGGCTTTTATGAAATCTGAAAACATAACTGGAATGTGTAAAGCAATATTATTAATTTAATTAATTTGGTTTATTATATCTATTTTAAAATTCATGCTTAATTATTTATAACCTATACAGGTTTTAAGCCAACCTTACATTATTATATATTTATCATAAAAGGTATTATTTTCTGTAGGGTGAAGAAGTCTTTTTTACTGACTTCCTATTACTATCCACTTATTACCCGATGGTAAATAACAAAATGTAATATTGTATTTTGATTTAAATTAAATTAAGCATGATAATATGCTTTTAAATAAGTAGGACTATTATTTTAGTTAATTAAAATTCGATAAAAAGTGAATGATGGAATGTTATTAACAATTATATTTTTTATTTTTTGCATTAGGAGAAGCAGGAATAAACAAAGCTAATTTTTTAATTTCAGAGATGAAAAAGTTCGTCCAAAAATCCTGCGCATTTTCAAAATATGGGAGCAAAGATCAGTATATGATGATGAGTTTCTCTCAGACCTCACTGGATTGCTAGTCGCTGGTGCAGTTAAAAAGACCGATGATGATTTCGATTTTCAGGTAAAACAACAATTCATATGCAATTCTAATCTCATGTAAAACTTTTGATAATCTTAGAATCATTTAACAGTTGTAATAATGTCTAATGACGTATTGTTTTAATATGTTTCACATAAAAAGGAAAACATAATTTGGTCATATTGTAGCTTATATTTGCAACATCTGATAATCTGAAGTTTTTAAAAACCCTGAAAGTGTTTTGTGAACAAAGATCTATTGGGGTACATAGTTAAAATATCCACAACCTGATTCTATAAACATTTCTGTTTTTCCACTAAAATAGAAACAAAAATGGGAAAAATGACCTCTTAATGAATGTGTTTTTATTTAACTGTGAAATAATAAAAACATAGTAATCAGACATGTTGACATATTGATACAACTGATTTCAGCCACAACAATTAGTCAACAAAATAAAACAATGTTCGGTCCTTGAAGCAGACACAGATTTGAGACTGAAACATATACATGAGAGTACTTTGGATTTCTCAGATACAGATGCACTTTGTGAAAGCCTTAAAGGTATGGCTAAAATTTGTAATCACTAATATAAAATCAACCTCTAACTTGGTAAATGTTAATTGATTCATGATTGAATAATGGCTATATGTTTGAATTCTGGTGAATATATTATCCAACTACAGTCTGTTCCGTACAATAAAACAGATATTTCTGGAGGCAAAGTTTATTTTATTACAATGAAACATTTACGGAAAGAGGCCAAGAGCAAGGGTTTTGCAATGGCACTTTTTAATTAATATAATATTTTATTCTTACAGAGAGATGTTTAAAAGATGACGTAGAAAAGGAACTAAATGAGGGCATCGGTTGCATAGAGAGGTATACGCAAGCATTACAAAGGGAGATAGTCGCTAGAGAGGCCTTATTAGCATTACTCACGTCTGCAAATCAATATTATTCTACGCAAAGAGGCGAAGTCAAAGTTGTTGCTTATGTAAGTAGAAAACTATGTGACTATTATTACTATTTATATAAAAAAATAGCACACAAGAACACTGCCCTTAATAGAGATAGTAAAAGTAGTATATGTAATTGGAGAAATTCTTATGCTAAATATGCTCAGTAGTATATGAGGATAGTCTAACCATAAGATTTAGGCCCTTTATAAAAAAAAGTGTGCGTGTACTTATGTACACGTGTAAGAAGTTATACTTCTTTGGCATAATTAAAAATAGTTTTTGATTGCATGCAAATAATTAATTACAATTAAATAATCAAAGACTGGAAAAGGAGTCATAATAGTCAATGAAGTTCAGTTTACATTTGAAAAATTAAATAAATAAATATTTATTATTATTCTCTTACATGAAGTGTAACATACATTCTATTATTATTCAAATGTTGTTTTTAAATTATGTCCAATGCCGTAGCATCGTCCGTGGGCAACTGCATTCTGTTAATTTTAAAGTTAATTTTGTGTCACGGTGCGCGCGCATCGTAAAATTTCACTCACATCAATTTTTCATAACGCGCCTAAAGAAGTATAACTTCAAAAAGTTTATAAATCTTGAAATTAGTTGATGCATGCTGTGATATAAATTCTCTTACAAATAGTTTTTGAACATGGTTTTTCTTTGGGAACAACCAAAGCTACACTTCAGATGTATAAAAAGGTATTTCAATACATTTTCTCAGAATAAAAGTGTAAAGGTAATTCACAGTTTGTGTTAAAGAAATTAAGAACACCAATCTATAGTTGTTTTTGGAACTTAATGAAATAGTATCTAACTATATGAAACACTGAAAACTGAAATTATTGTATTGACATATACAAATACTTGAGGAGATTATCGTTAACAGCTACTATTTATTTATTCATTCACACATTACACATCACTATTAGAGATAATATATAAAAAGAAAAACAATAAAAGTAAAGATTTTTTTTTAATCGCATCGTGCAATCAGTCTTCTGACTATGAGCAGATGAGTTGTAGGATGGTTTGCGGGTGGAGATATTCCTCATTAGGAATATCTACCATAATAATATTAGCTCAGTCAATGCTGCTGAGCTCCAAGGTTCTTCGTCTTTTGAGTCGGTTTATATACTCCGGTAGGGTGAGTTGAACAGCTAGGTGGTTAGGATGATATTCCAGCCTAGTCTTGTACTTCTGAGCGTATACTTTTATTTCCTCCTTGACTGTAGGTATGCCTAGGTGTTCATGTACTTCAGCGTTTCTTATGAACCAAGGCGAGTTGCTTATTTGTTTAAGGATGTAGTTTTGTGTTCTTTGAATTTTAGTTTTGTTAGAGTCACATGTAGCTCCCCACAATTGTATCCCGTAGGTCCACACGGGTTTTATAACAGAATTGTAGATAAGGAGTTTGTTGTCGATGGACAATTTCGAGTTTCTACCCAGTAACCAGTACAGCCTCTTATATTTAATGTTGATCTCACGCCGTTTTGTTTCGATGTGTTTTTGCCATGTCAATCTACGGTCCAAGTGCAGTCCAAGATATTTAACTGTGTCACTCTGAGGCAGTTCCTTTCCTCCTAGGCTTACAGGGGGGCATGTCTTTCTTCGCAGTGTGAATGTCACCTGTACTGATTTGCTAGTGTTCACCCTAATTCTCCACCTATCGAACCAGTTGCTTATTTCATCTAGGCTTCGCTGCAGCTTTAACGTGGCTTCTTCGGGTTGTTTACTTGAAGCTAGGATTGCCGTATCGTCTGCATAGGTTGCAATGTTGACTTCAGAGGTACGCGGTAGATCTGAGGTATATATGGTGTACAGCACTGGGCCAAGTACAGAGCCTTGAGGTACCCCTGCAAGTATATCATGAAAACCTGATGTACAATCCATCTCTTTCACTTGGAATATTCTATCGGTGATATAAGACTCTAGGATTCCATAGAAAGTATGAGGCAGAAGTGACTTGATCTTGCATAAGAGCCCCTTGTGCCATACGCGATCGAATGCTTGTTGAACGTCCAGAAAAGCTGAGGAGCAGTACTCTTTTAGCTCAAGGCTATTGCTTATGAATTTACACACCCTGTGAGTTTGTTCGATAGTGCCGTGTTGTGCTCTAAACCCGAATTGGTGATCTGGAATTATAGAATTTTCATGAATAGCTTGCGAGAGCCGTCGTAGTAGTACCTTCTCCAGTACTTTAGAGACGATCGGGAGAAGACTTATAGGTCGGTAAGATGAGACGTCATGTGGCGATTTCCCGGGCTTATGGAAAATAATCACCTGAGAGACCTTCCATAGCGCTGGGAAGTATCCAACACTTATAATCCGGTTGAATAGGGTCGTCAAGTAAGTTATAGCCTTACGAGGTAATTCGGAGAGAACCTTTTTGTCAATGAGGTCAAAACCTGGTGCCTTCCTATTCTCCATTTGTTGTATGGTTCTTTGTACCTCCCTTGGTGTTACTATCTTCAAGGGCAAATGCAATTGGAAATCCTGCTGGAGAATGTCATCTATTTCTGCCTCATCCGACCCAGGAGTGGCTTCATTTGGAACAAATACTTTAGCCAGATGGTCAGCAAAGGCATTTGCTTTTTCTAGTTTAGATCTAGCCCACTTGTTTCTATCTAGTCTTATAGGTGGTTTAGGGTTTGTGGGTAGATTCAGATTTTTGCATGCCTTCCAGAGAGAGTAGTCGGTGTCTGTTGTAGCTGTTAACGACATCAGGTTTTCCTCAATAGTAGCATCTAGATTTTCTTTTATAGCCTGTTTAAGGTGTTTAGCGTAGATGTTTACTGCTGTTTTATCATCGGGATGACGACTATTGTGCCACACTCTACGTAATCTTCTCTTCTCCAGGATCATGTCATGAATTTCGTGGGGTACAGAAAGCTGTCTGGTCCTTTTCTGAGCCATTCCCTCAGAACTCCTCCAGCATGAGTCCTGCACCACTCTCGTAAATGCCAAGACTGCACTATCTATTTCCTCCTTACTCTTTAGTGAAATCCGTAATTGTAGGGCGTCCTCTACGAGGTCACGAAACATTTGCCAATTTATTCTCCTGTTATACAGTTTTGGTTTCCGTTGGCACTCCAGAATATTGGTACTAATAGTTAAGATCACCGGGATGTGAGCTGAAGAACCATCGAGAAAGCCATCAATGTGATAAAACAGTCGTGAGAGACCCTTCATTAAAAAGAAGTCCAGGACATCAGGCAATCTTCCAGGGTCGCTTGGCCAGTGAGTTGGCTCGGGGGTGGAGATTGTTGTTAAGTGGTTTTTATCAACGCATTTTTTAAGTTCTCTACCACGCGTGGTAATCAATCTCGACCCCCAGTGCAGATGCTTTGAATTCCAATCTCCACCTGCTATGAAGCGTGGACCCAGACTGTTAATATATGTGGTGAAGTGTTCCTCAGTTATAACGTGCTTTGGAGGACAATAAACCGAGGAGATACAGAAATTCCCATTTTCATCCTGGATATTTATTGAGGTGGCTTGAATGGATTCCGATCGAAATTGTGGAAGTTCATAGTGTTCAATGGAGGATCTAAATAGCTGTGCCTCCATGTGCAGTGCCATCGGGATGATTTGTTGTGTACACATTGTAGTTTTGTACATGTATTTGGCTGTTGGATGTAAGGTGCGCCTCAGAAATAAGCAAGGCATCCAGATTATGCATTTTTAGCAGGATTTCAGCTTCATTTTTCTTAGGCGATAGACCATCTATGTTCCATGTAGCAATTTTGAGTTTATTCATTTTTATGGTAATTTGTTAACTAGTGTAGTCAAGAGCCCCAGAATGGTGCTCATTTGTTGTAGGATTGCATCAATTTTTTGTGATTGTTTTATAAATATTTCCTCAATTCTATTATTCAGTGATTGTTGACTGGCTTCTGGCACAGATTGTTGGACTTGGACTAAATTATTACTTTTAGCCACTTCATTATATCTCTTAGGCGTATTTATTGTGGGTGGGTTCGGGGGTTGGTTTGTAGGTTGGGGGTTTGGGCTTATACCACTATTGGGAGAGCTTGACGTAGGAGCTTTTCTTGCGCTTAGAGACGAGCGCTGTGTTTTTCTGGCTAGACTTTCTTTATATACCTCGCAACCTTTATAATTCGCAGGGTGAGGGCCGAGACATAGGGCACATTTTGCTGGGGTACTGCGGTCCACTTTAGGACAATCTTTGGTTAAGTGTGATTCTGCGCATTTGAGGCATCGACCTGGTCTCATGCAGTAGTTTTTGGTGTGCCCATACTGCTGGCATCTTTGACACTGTACTATAGTGGTCCTCTTTTTTGGGTCTTCTATAGTAACAATTTGGTGGAAAATATGTCTGATTTCCTTGGCTGCTTTATTATGCTGACTAGGTTGCAGGTTTACAAAGAAAGTTGAGGTAGGTTTTTTATCAGGCCCAAATCTGGCATTGATAATCTCTCCAACTACTATGTTTCCCGTTTTCTCAAATTCAGCTAAAAGTAAAGATAAGAAGAAAATGTTATTAAGGAAGAGTAGAATGAAAACTAAAATATACTAATACATGAAATTATAAACACAGCAATTAATCTAATATATAAAATTCTCGTGTCACAATGTTCGTTGGGAGGGGTATGGCCCTCCGAAACGGCTCGACCGATTCTTATGAAATTTTTTATGCATATGCAGTAAGTCTGAGAATCGGCTACTATCTATCTTTCAAAACCCTAAATCTTAAGGGTGGTCCCACCCTAAATTTTTATTTTTTATGATACAGCAAACTAAAATACATAGAACCCTTAATTTTCACCCCTCTACGATCAACCTTTATTTTTTATTTGTTAATTAGAAACTTATAACTTGAACTCTGTTATTTATATAGAGAAAAATCACAGAAAAACCTAAAAAGTTTTCATTTCGGAAAACCGATCAGTCTCTGGGGTAGCATAGCAAAATAATCCATGTTGGTATGTACTAAAAAGATAGGCTAAGTAAAATGACATTAAGGAGAAACGAAGTTCGCGGGGGTAGCTAGTAATACTCTAAAGTCTAAACAATAAATGTGACCATTGGAGTTGTTCACCAAAATTCGACTAGTGAATGAGCTCATATATTATATTTGTCAGTGTATTTTATATTATATATTATTTATATTATATTATATAGTGTTCTAAATTATAGAATATATTTATAGAAATATATAGAAATATTATTTCCCTTATTCATAAAAGAAATATATTACTATTTAGATTTAAGTACTCATCCGCCTCTTAATAAACACATTTTATAAAAGGTGAAAGAGTCCAATTAGTCTTTAATCCTTATGGATATGGGTTAATTTTACAAAATTTGTAAATATCCATATAAATCTGAATGAATGTATAGTTCAATTAAAAATGTAGAATAAATAAATATTTCAGGCATACAAAAGCTTTGGATCACGAGTTCGTGTGTTAAAAAGAAAGTTGGACGATTTGACTCCTACCCTGCCTTCTTCAGTTCCATCTCCACCCCTCAGGGATGAGGATGTTCCTTCTCCAGGCCCCGATGAAGACCTGCCTCTACCTAACACGGGAGATAATGATGGTAAGATGGCATTAAATTTTATATGTTCCGGGTCTCACATGCTTAATAACTAATACTTAATTATTTCTATCTTTTGTATTACTACAGCTCTTAATACAAAGAAAAATATTTGAGATAAGAAAGGTGTCACTTAAACTTTATTTCTTTGAATGAATTTAAATGGTTTTAAATTGTATTGCAATTCTTGTTAAATTATTTGTATGTGCATTATTGTAACAATTAATAAACATTAGCAAGACACCTTTAAATTTTTGTTATTTCAGTCACTAGTTCTAAATGATTTATTAAAAAGTTCCTTAATTTTTTTACTTAATTTATGATTATTATTATTAAATCTATATTAATTAATCCATACAATAATTGTTAAGTTTAATTTTTTAAGGCCCTTTCGGGTAAAAGCCAAAAATTTTCCATTTCCCTTTTTCTTGAGCAACATTCATCCGGTTTTTCTCTACTAGTCTCTTCTATTATGTCATCTGTTGTCATCTTTTCTGTATTCATCCTATGTATCTCTTGAAGCCTTGAGTGAGTAGAGTGTACATCTGTAAGTTTTGTTTTGTTAGAATAGCAACATATTTTATTTTGTTTATTCTTACTAACTAAGATGCTTCTTTCCATTGCATGCTGGCAAGATAGAATTTTTCTTGTTATTTTTCTTGGTAAAAACCCACGTTTGACTTGCGTATGTCAAACAAGGTAGAATATTTGAATCCATATCCAGAGTAGTTTCCTTCTTCTGTGTTTCTTCTTCTTCTTCTGTCTACTTTGTTTTCATCGCTGTTCTTATCGAAGAATTGTTTTCCTAAATATACATAAAGTCTTGCTAATGAAAGAAGATAATTGGATTATTTGAAAACTTTCTGATGGCAACACAGAATGTCATTGAATTTCTTAGGTTAGTAAGATTTATTGTATTGATACTTCATGCAATTACAAATTTTTATTTCTATTATATATTTTTTCCGAATAGTTAACAGGTATAATAGCCTAAACATTTAGAAAGTTTTATAATCAATGTGAGAGACAGTGATGACAGCAATGACTCTGATGAATCTATGCATATTGTTTTTTTTTAATTCTGATTTTGATTATTCCGAATAAAGTTGTGTTTTATAATAAACTAGTGGAGCCCACAGACGTTGTCCTGCATGATATTTAAAGCGATTAGGATATTAAGCAAAGTATGAAAGTACCGACTGCAGTGCCATCTGCCGGGCTGATTTGTGAATCTAAACCATTCCCAGATCCCCTTGAACACACACAAAAAATTTCATCAAAATCGGTCCAGTCGTTTGAGAGAAGTTCAGTCACATACACACGCACACAAGAAATATATATATTAAGATATAGTTTTAGTTTTCCATGCAATGCTAGTCATTTTAAGTATCAATAGTAAAATACTAAATACGTTATCAATGTAAAAATAATAAAATAAAATCAAGTAAAAAGTAAGTTTAATCCACAAAATATATCAAACTTTTAGGAATACCATACTAATTTTTTTTTTAATTTTCCGCGCTTTTTCGTTATCTTCTTTCATTAGCCAGACTAGTTATTGGCATATTCTATAGGTTTATTGTCTACTCTATTTATTATTATTCATATGTTAAATCGATACTTTTAGGGGCTAGCTAAATGTATGCCTACATAGTAATAGGATATTTTTTTAATTAAAATGGAATATAAATATAATTCCAGTGGCTTACAACATAGACCAGACATTCAATTCGACCATGTCAGCCGATGGCTCTCTTTACAACTTGGGACTTTCATCATTTCTCACTTCGGATAATCCTCTCTCAATGTTTGGGGATGAGATTGATCTCACTAATGGTAAATATAATAATACAATATTTGATAAATTTGTATATATTGAAGGTATATGCAGTCTGAATGGTGTATATACTTAATTATGTTATTAGTAGCCTAACTTTATGAGATTAATCAAGAAAAAACTATCAAAATTCATCAAAATTAGTTCATTCATCAACAATCGCATTTTAATATTTTTCCAGCCAATAAAATAGAAGTAATAAATACAAGGCCAAGTGATAAACAAGATTTCAGTATAAATGACTTCTTGAAAACCCTCACTCCAGCTGAAAATTCCGCATCGCCAAATGATTCAGGTAAAAAGCTACATTTATATATATATTTTGCCATGTATATTATTTCTAGGAACCATTTTAGTTCATGTATCTACATATAATAAAAATAGGGGTTGATCGTACAGGGATGAAAATTAGGGGTTGTATGCTGTATCATAAAAATAAAAACGAAAAAAATTTTCTAAAAAATAAATTTTTGGGGTGGACACCCCTTATCATTTAGGGGTTTGAAAGATAGATAGTAGCCGATTCTCAGACTTACTAATGCAAAAAATTTCATAAGAATCGGTCAAGCCGTTTCGGAGCAGTATGGGAACGAACATTGTGACACGAGAATTTTATATATTATATAATCTAATTTCTAAAACTGGTATTTCAAGTAGCTTCATACCTCTCTCATACCTGAAGTCGTAGGTTCGATTCCTAGCTGTGCACCAATATATTGAAAAATCGTACGGTGAAGGGAAACATCGTGAGGAAACTGGCACAGGAGGCTATTCACATACTTGCCTATTAAAACACAAATGATAACGAATTAGATAAATCTGAGGCCCAGATCTAAAATGTTGTAGCGCCTCTGGTTTTTATTACTTGCCGGATGGGTTGCCGGACGATCGCTAGGCTATCGAATTCAACTGCAATATTGCACAGCCAGTTCTATTGTTGTTTCAGTCACTCTCTTTGTTATGGCACAGTGTATCCTTTTCTACGCGACATGAAGTTTGCTATGAGTGAAGTGTGCCTGTTGCTATATTCTGTGTTTTGCGATCAGCTGTATTTGACGTTAGATTACTACGTAAAAATGACTGCTTTTGACATTCTAGTTCTTGAATAATTTATTATCAAGACTTATTTCTAGACTCAAATTGTCTACAGTTTCACGCCTATTTAAGTAAGGTCAAATTCACAATCTCTTCTTTTTCTGTTTCTTTTTAAAACAATATAAGCTGCTGCGACAAGTGTGATTTCGTCAGCCATTATTGCCGGTTTGTGTAGCCCGTTTAGGAGTCTGCATCATGGGCCATACTATTGCAGACATATTGCAACACATTGCCCAGCCATAGATTGTTCGGCCATCAGCTGCATTAAAATATTTTTCTAATGGCTGGACAATTAGTTGCCAACAGTGCAGCCATCAATTGCAGCAAAACATGGCCCGTTTAGAAGCGCCATTACAATAATAATTTATTTATTGCAAGAATATGGTACAAAAATATTAAGGTGGTACAATCGCAAGTTCGCATATTCTGCCACAAAAAATAGCGCGCAAATTTGTCTTAAGGAATTTCACATTATTAAATTATTAAATAAAATTGTATGTGATGTGCAAATATATATTCCAGTGTCCAAAAGCCAAGAGTCGTTGCCCGGTTTGGACCTTCTGACACCGGATAGCACCGGAATACCGCCTCCGCCCACTTCCTTCTACAGCGCTATGGACCCAATCACCATATCCGGTTCGTTTAGTATTCATTCCATTCCTTTTGTAAAACGTTACGATTCGACTTTCCAGTACTTTACAGCACAATGATAACTTTTAGCTATAAAGAGTCACTGGGTGGTTACGAAACGCGCCGTAACGTTTTTCTGTGCCCAATAGTAAAACTTTACGGCGCGTTACACGGGGGGTCAAATAATCTCCAAAAATTGCGTGAAGTAATACTTAAACGCTCACTAAATCTTAATTGTTTTTAGAATATTCTTTATAGCATTTAAAGTTTTAATTGTATATTATTATGAAAATTCAATTTGTTTTTCAGAGGACGCGGAACACCAATATCTCCCCGAGGCAATAGTGAGTAGACAGTGGACTAATGCATGGGCTGCGCCTGCGCCGATTACGGTTCGTTTTTGGGTTTTTTTTTCAATACACAAAAAAAAAAATTATATTTTATGAGAATTAGAAAAAGATTGAGACACATTTCGTTTGAATTGAATTTTTTAACATATATGACAAATAAGTAACTGTAATTTAAATGACCAAAAAAGCGTATTTTCAATATTAAAACCGACACTTTCATCTTTCATTATTTATGGATACGATTTTTGCACAATTTTCGCAATTTATCACTTTTCCTAATCCACTACAATTCTTATCAACAGACACAATCCTGTTGTCAAATATATCAAACATAGAAAAAAAATTTGACAGCTCACGAAACACAAACTCTACACAAATATCAAATATGATAGCAAATTTTTGACGAAAAACGACCATGACCTTCATAATCATTCTCTATCTGCCCTCGGTTTGGTTATTATTATTTTTTATTTAGTTTTATACGCACATTATAATTAAAATCTTTCGCAATTTGTAGAAATAAGATATTTTTAATAGACAATGAATAAATGGCGCGTTTTTTAGATTTAGCATGTAACCGTTTGTACGATCGATACAATAATGTCAGCGAACGCATACAGATTAAAAACTATACGAACAATGCTATTTTACGATATCGAAGGGACTACTCATCGTCGTAAAAACCGATAGTCGTAACAGTCGATAACGTTGTTATTAAGAACCTAATACAATAGAATTCAGCCGGGACCTTTGATTTTGGTCAATATAACCGGTATGTTGTTCTAAACGATGTCGTCATAAACGGTTTTGACTGTAGTTCCAAATACGCCCACGGAGCGCTGCTCCAGTTTTTGTTGCAAATTTATTTATTTTACGAATTTTTAGTGCTAAGTGCGAGACGATATTTCTGTTTCTCAAACAAAAACGCCAATTCGTTTTATATTGTGTTAGACTTTAGCAATAAATTGCCGCCAGTTGCCTTTCCTTTACATGTAATAATGTTAAATTTTTATATTATAAAGCAACAAAGTGTGAATAAAATAAAAATAAATATATAGTATTTTTAATATTACGAGAACTATTATAATATATAACTGTGGAATAATTGATGTATGAATATTCCAGCCTCGTGTGCCAGTGACGAATGAACGGGCCGTGTTCGAGGAGCCTCCCGCGTCTCCGCCCCCTTCGTTAGCGCCCCCTTTGCCCGTGCCTACGATTGTGGAAACACACCCAAAAGTAAGTGAATATAACACGCATATTTCTAATATGTTTCAACTATTAAACACCTGGTAATTATCTTTTTAATTTTAAACTCACCTTGAGCTTCATTTTTGTTTAAGACAGTGTTTATGCTTGTTGCAATTATAACCTTAATACTTATTTTATACTTTTTCCCGAATTGTTACTTCTCTCCCAATTTATACTTCCTGCACACTTTATACTTGCTTACTTAATACTTGCTGTACATTTTATATTTCTATGTAGTGTCTCTTAACTCTTTTATCAAATTACCCTTATTATTATATCCACGTATATTGGCACATTATACAGGTCTATATATTCTAAAGTACTAGTATAGTTAAATTTTCAATAAATCTTTGAAAATATCTATCTATCCATCATATAGATAGAATATGACCCGTCTACATAGGGAGCGTTCAAGTATTACGTAACAAATTTTAGGGGCGGCATTTTGTAGGCGTTTTTACTATTGGGTACAGAAAAACGTTACGGCGTGTTACGTGGGGGGTTAATAATCTCCAAAAATTGCGTGACGTAATACTTGAACTGTCAATAATATTAAATAAAAATTTGAAATCGATTTCAGGAAAGTTCAACGCGTGACGTGGATCACAGAGGCATACTACCGCCGCCCCCGCCGCCGCCATCCTTGCCTATGCTTGGGAGTGAGTATTTAAATAACTCAAGCTAAACTAAACAAAAGATTAATGTAAATATAACTAAGAAAAGATTAATGTAAATATAACTTAGAAAAGATTAATGTAAATATAACTTAGAAAAGATTAATGTAAATATAACTTAGAAAAGATTAATGTAAATATAACTTAGAAAAGATTAATGTAAATATAACTTAGAATATATTAATGTAAATATGACTTAGAAAAGATTAATGTAAATATAACTTAGAAAAGATTAATGTAAATATAACTTAGAAAAGATTAATGTAAATATAACTTAGAAAATATTAATGTAAATATGACTTAGAAAAGATTAATGTAAATATAACTTAGTAAAGATTAATGTATAGCAAACGGTTTTCTGGTAATGTGCATAAAAATTACGTTAAATCTATAATAATGTATAGTTAAAATTTGACCTTTGTGTGCTGTAAATAAATAAAACTGAACGGATCTGTAATTAACATTACTATATAAAACCCGTGTATTAAAGTACCTTAGGCACAGGGTTCAATTCCCAGAAAATTGTTCTGTAGGCATGGAATGGTGATTTCAGATTTGAAAATTCAAACACAAATATTTAATGATGAGTTTTTCAACAGGTATAGAAGACGTGGACCACAGATTGTTGCCGAGTTTACCTTTGCCTCCGATCACTCCACCCGCAATAAGGCATCCCCTACCACAAGGTATCTGTAAAAAAATAAAAAAAATAAAAGTACGAAATAGGACTATTTTCTTATGTAACGCGAGGCAAACGGGCAGGATGCGTTGCCGGCATTTAAAATAAATAATAAATAGAGTAAACTATAATTTCCTGCGTATGGTAAGTCTCAATACAGAAAGGCCAAGCTAGGAGAACAGTATTTATAAAAGGGTCACAACCTACAATTGAATTTTTAATACAGTAATCCCGCGTTTTCCGTCCCTCATATAACGCGGAGATTTCTGAAGTTATATTTCTGTGTGAAATTTGTATTGATTTGTCAAGTCCATATTTTACGTTTCTATCCTATATGTTCCTAATATTTTTATTGTTCGAAAAAATGGTTTTACGAGAATACTCCTACAACGCGATTTACTATAACGCGATCCGGGTCTTCCGCGTTATAGGGGATTACTGTATTACGATATTAATTATTAAATTACGAAAAATAATCTAATAAAGAACTTTTGACATTAGGTCCTGATGTATGTAATTAAATTTCAGATGTGGACCACAGAAATTTAATATCTCTGACGCATCAACCGCCCAGACCACATAATGCGGTAACCGATCAGGTATGTTTTGTTATTTACTTATAAAACGCGTTTAGTTTTTGTCGTAACAATGTCTAATAAATCGATAGTCGGCTGGACGCACGAAAAATACGACTCAGTGTCACATTACGCTTATTGTCCCGTTACGTTCATTGTCCCGTTCCGCACATTGTACGCTTGCGCATCTATCTCTCTTTCACTCGAAGACTTAGGTATGCAATAATTTTATCAATGTTTTGTTATGACGTTGTTACGTTAACCTATCATTTGTAAACCGACTTTACAGACATCCAGGTTTTTTTACACTTCGTTGCTCGTAAGACAATAATTTGTAAATGTAATAAAATTAAAATAATTAAATAAAAAGGAGGGCAACTGGCGGCCTTATCGCTTTCATGCGATCTCTTCCAGGCAACCTTCGTTTATTTCAAATCTACAATTTTGTTATTTCCTATAACTTGTTATAGTAACTTCGTTCAGTGCCATCTGAACCCCTGTTCCTTTTAATTAATCCAAATTATATTTAATCCAAAAAAACTAAGAAAAAGGTTAAAATAGGCACAATTACAAACAATTATGATGATCACATACTATTATTATCTTGTTATAAACAATTTTTTGAGGTCGTAGGTTCGATCCCCAGCTGTGCACCAATAGACTTTCTTTCTAAGTGCGCATTTAACATTCGCTCAAACGGTGAAGGAAAACTTCGTGAGAAAACCGGCATGTCTTAGACCCAAAAAGTCGACGACGTGTGTCAGGCACTGGAGGCTGATCACCTACTTGCCTATTAGATTTAAAAATGATCATGAAACAGATTCAGAAATTTGAGGCCAAGACCTAAAAAGAATGTAGCGCCACTGATTTATTTTCATTTATAAACTTTTTTTAGAGTTAATAAAATGTAAATTGCAGGATTACCGGGTTCCAGCGATGGTTCCCCCTCCGGACATCGTCGAAAGTGTTGATATGGACCTCTCCGAAGATGAAGAGCAACGTGAGTTTATATTATTTGTGGCATTTCTGGAAATGCTTTTCAAAATAATTATATTTAAAATAAGGATACATATATAGTATACATAATATAATAAGTAGAAACCCTTATTACAAAAATTTTAACAGTTTTCCAATCTTATTTTTACTAGTTTTCGTTTTTTTTATTTTTTTTAAATTCTATGTTGATTTGATATTTATTGATTTAAGCTCGGATATGACGAAAGAATTGTTGAAAAGAATTAAAAAAAATATATTTAATTATAAAATCACCCTATCTAAAGAAGATTGTATCCAACAATTAATATTCCTTAAAACTAAAAAGAAAGGCAAAATATATAATATAATCAGTTATCCAAGATATATAATATCGCACTGTAGTAATATATAAAGATGTATATTATGTCAGAGGAAAGACAGTCAGTTATTTAGAGATAATATGTGTAGTATGGATCGTTATAATTCACAAAAATACGAGGTTAGCCTCGTTATCGCTAATTTGTAATTGTTTAAACTAATGTATTATATTAACTTACGTTTTCAGAAGGCGGATATCAGAATCAAAACCAAATCGAGCACAGAAGAAATAGCTTCAACAACAACAAAGTTCTCGTCGGCGGTGACGAGAAACGCGCAGACAAACACACGAACCATCAAAACAGCCATTCCGCGCCCATCTTACCTCCCCTCTCCAACCCCTTCGAAAACATGCCCTCAAATATCAAATTCACAATTCCCCCAGAATTCCCTGATCCAAACATGCAAAAATTCCAGAATTACCCGGACAAAGGAAATCCGTTCGAATTCGATAATCCAAAATTCCAACCCAAAAATTTCCCCGATTCCCCACTTCCCAATATGCAAAACTCCCCGAATTTCGAGAGACCCCAACCGCCCTACGAAGCCAATTTCGCGGAAGACGAAGTCGAGATCTACGAAGATCACGATCAGGATTTCGGTAAAAGTGATTGGAACCGGCAAAGGTACCCCCGAAACTGGGCCCCGCGGACTAACTTTAGGCCGCCGGGGCAATTCGGGCCCCAGTTTTGGCCCCGAAACGGACCCAGACCCAACGGGCCCAGATGGATGGGACCCAGACGTTTTTGGTGATGTGTAAATAGTTTGTGTATCACGGTGTTTTAATAAAGCTAATTAATAGACTACAGATTTATTTTACGATGTTCCCATTTTAAAATATTATTTAAAATAATCTGTGTCAAATTGTCAATCATGATATAGTGCAGTAGTCTGTGAGCATTCGTTATATGTCGTTACACATTGTATTCATTATATATCTATAATATAAAATAAAAAAAATATTCAAAATATACAATTATGTTCGTTATTTTTTTATGTATTTTACAATTTATTAGCCTGGATTGGTGTTTATGCCTAATATTTTATTCTTAAGGGCTGTTCAAGTATTACGTAAGCACTATAGGGGCGAGGGGGGTCTTTATTTTCTTATTTGGTAATTACCTCAACAGTAATTATTTATTTTTTTATTACCCACACATTGTCTATGTTTGAAAACCAAATACATTTTCGAGAATTCCTACAAAAAATGAATATGTTTATGTACTATTATTTTTGAGAGCTTTGCTTACTTTTGCTGACAAGAGGGGGGGATAAATTGCAGTAAATATGCTTACGTAATGCTTGAACGGCCTCTTATCAAAATAGTCGAATTCCAGATTCGTTTCAATTAAAATTAAAACATTTGGTTGTCATTTTCAATCAATGTTTAAATTCAATCCCTTTTATCTCCATAGACAATGTTTCATCATATATCTTGATGATTGTCAAAATACGGCAATCCATTTCACTGATGGCTTTTGGCAGATATCGGTACTTGCCTCTGAAATTAGCTATTTCTCTCAAATACAAAATAAAATATATAATTTATTATGTTTAAATTAGTTATATTTTTATTAAACTAGTAAGTAAACACTCAATGAATATAATGTCTTTATTTATATAGCAAAATACCGCGATACACATACTAATATTAACACTAGCTTGTTTCATATTATACAGTAGCAAAAATAAATGTTTGTCTCAAGAATGTACAAATTTTTAGCCCCTGTATTTTTAAGATATTCCGTCCATTTTGAAATTTTAATTAGAATATAATACGGCTTTCAAAAGAATATTTAAGGAAATAAAAACTGATTCTATAATTTCCACTTGAAGTAGAGTATTAGGGGTAATTGTCTGAACATTAATTGAAATAGCCTGCTTTAGTCCCATAATACGATAATTACTGTGTGCTGGAATGAGACAGCGATAACTGCCGGTTTCAAAAACGCATTGGATTTTGACATGCGGGAAAGATAGTTCACGTTAACTAATAGAAACTTTACGTAGACATAAAAAACTTTACGAAAATATAGATACAATTAACGAATGCAAATCAAAAGTTGTATGTGCGATATAGTTCCAAAGTTCACGGAGCGTTGCTGAAATTTTCATATAAAAACTTATAAATAAAAATATTTTTTTTTTAATATTCGTGATTTATTCTGTCACTGAAGATTCAGTCATAAGATATATAATACACCCTATATCTCGTTTCTGAATATCACCATCAGAAGTGCCTTAAATATGTCAAATCCAATACGTTTCTGACACTGGTTACACTTACGGCGAGGGAATATTAAAAAAAATACAGTACGCATTTTCCCCTAAGGTTTCATTCCGAGCCAGTCGTACCAAAAACATAAAACTATTATGTTCTTTCGTCTCTTTCTGCCAAATTGTGTTTACCCTGTGATAGTAAGAGACAGTTAAAGTTAAAACGCTATAGGGTTTGATTGACTGATGTTCGTACATGGCGTTGGGTTGGGATTTAAAAGTTACTTAAACGTTTATTTAAAAGTTACTTAAACGTTTATTATTGTTTTAAATAAAGTACTGATATTTTGAAATTCGGCCGAACTTTATAAAAAGCACGAGATCATTTGAGCTTGTAGTACATCGTACATAATAGGCCTCGGGTAGAAAATAAATATTTTTACTAAATTATTCGAAAAGATATTTCGACGAAATCAACAATTGTTGTTACATTTTTGTAGTATTATAACAATTGAAGTATATACTAGGGAATGTAATCCCGAGTCGAGATCCCGCGCGATTAAAAATATCAATCCAACGGGATCCCGAGATTTTCGGGATCTCGTCTAGTTTAAAAACAAATTCCCAAATTTTTAATTACTGACTAAATTTTTAATACACGTGTAAAAGGACTTTTAGACGCTCGGAGAGTTTCTTCTAAAAAAATAAAAAAAAAAAAAGTCTCTTTGAGGTCATGTATTAGTTTGTGTAGCATTAGCACTTATATTAAAATCCTTTTCAATCATAGAAAGTGCCACTGCAAGTGATACAATCTTGTGATTTAATTTCTTTTCTTATGAGATATTTGCTTGGCAATTGGAAAGTCTCGTTGCCTTTCCATTTTATTCATCGAAAAACCAACTTTTCTGAGAATGGAGTTTTAAGGACTTCTAGCTTTCGAATCAGTATCTTGACGGCACTCCATTGTCGCCCAATCTCGTCAATCTCGGATGGGATCTCGTCATATTATGCGGATATTGAGGATTTGGTCAAGGATTTGATCGGGATTGCATTCTCTAGTATATACAGAGTTCTAACGTTTGTCACTTAATGAAATACATTTAATTATATTATATATTTGATTGGTTATATCACTGGCTAATTTATTTACCTAGTCTACTAATAAGACACTTCAAAATCTCATTGAAGGTCTATACTATATCGGTACTTCTTCGTATTAAGTATGAAGGTGATAGAGGTATTTCTAATTATCAAAAATGCAACATGAATAATTTTCCTAAAAAAGTATCAATTTAAATCTTAGTTTTCCTGCTGATTTATAAAAGGGATTAATTATTAAAATAATTGTTATTGGTTCGATATTATTTTGAAATTATTTTCATTAAACAGCCTTGAAAACAAAAAAAACGTATGAAATTTGACTTGATTTGATTTAAAAAACATAGCTCTAACAATGCATAACAACTAAGAACTTATTTCAAAGAAACTAAAAAAAAATGTTTTAAAGGAAGCGGACGGAAATTCGTAGTCAAACTAAACATCTTTAAAGCTTCCATAAAACGAATTAATAATGTAAATAAAACAGAAAATAGAAATTAAAAATAAAATTTAGAACCAGTAACAGTTTAGTAGCAATAACAAGTAACAATTAATAATAAGCAAAAATAAAAATAAAATATTTAGCGTAATTAAAGTTCAATGGACTGCTCAAAGGGATCACCTATTACGTACATAAAAAGCGTATTTTTTCTCAGTTATGACTTTTTACCGAAGTAGTCATTTTTTTTGTGGCGCATTTTTTTTATTTTGGCCGGATATATGTTGTTTTATTATTGATAAATAACCACTGTTTAATGGCTTTTATAAATCATAGGAAACAATGATATTTTTTGACTTAATTTGAAAAAATCTTCTATTATAATTATAATTCTTCTATTATAATTCATTTGCATAATTCATATTGGGGTAAACATTATCACAAATTCTCACCCCTATCACCACCTTACGGGATTACGTCGAATTACCAGTAACCCTGTATAAGTTGTAATAAAAATATATAATAATTATGAAGTAATGTAGTATAATCCTTTAATATTCTAAAAAGGCAGCTTCCATAATGAAAGTTATCAAAAAGCAAATTTCAGCGAGTAGGTACAATTTATTAAATACAATTATATTGTATACAGATTAGATTAATATCGAAACAAATTTTTTAAATAATATATTAAAAACTGACTAATTATAATTTAAACAAAAATACTAAAAATATCCAATGGGTGACATAATTGTTTTAATCAAATGTCTCAGCAAATGTAATTATTAAAAAATAATCATGACGTCACAATTAAGTTTAATTGGTTGTCAAAGAAAGACTGAATAACTCGAAACGTCGAGTTATGTAAATAATGTAGATTATCTCGTTTATACTCGTTAAATAATTTAATGTGTATTGCACAATAAAGTATTAAACCAAAGACAATTAGTAAATTATAGAATGCAAAAAGAAAAAAAGCAATATTTATTTGAGTTGGTTGTGAAAGTGACAATAGACTTTACGAACCATGCGATGAATTAATCGTCAAATTAAATATAGTATATCTTTCGAAAATGCGCTTTCTAAAACATTTTCTTAGATCATTATATATTGTCATAGATTAGTCAATACTATATTTAAGCCAGGGGTTTGTATGTTTTTTGTACATTTATATAGCCACTTTGTTGCTATACTTCGTTCAATCGTGTTTTTATGCCATGTGGTGGGAAAATAAGGTTGCAAAAGCGCCGCATGGGCAATATATACGTAAAGAACGTGATTTAAAAATCATTCTTATCAGATTTGTCTTTATGTGTAAAATGGTGGCATGGAGTCAAAGAGGCTAGACTGATTCTAGTACAAGATTGTTCTTCCAAAATTATTTATGTATTGCATGAAATAATTGTTATTTAAGTACTGCTCACTATCAAACATGCATTTAATTTGTTTTTATTATGTATAAATTATAGCCTCAATTAGTGGAGGAATTTGACATTTAAACAAAACTGTCTGACTTATTTATAATAAAAATAACTTTTCCCTAAATGTTAAATGAATGTGATGTGATCAAACTTTAAATTTTCATGCTTCAGGATTTCAAGTGTGGAACCACTTTGGTGTGTTTTTGTGAAATTTAAAATGTACAAAAACTTTGGGCAATTTAATTGGAATCTAATTGATTAAATGTTATTAAATTCCTAATAAATTATTCACACATACTCTGATAGAGTTATAGTACTTATAGTCATTGTAAAATATATAGGAATGTCATGAAAAGTCAAACTAAATGTTGTTGTTTATTGAAACTTTTTGTAATAATTAACATTCAGATTTTTTAAGTTAAAGTTTTCTTTTAAAATTAACTCTTTTAAACCTAAGGAAATTTACGTCCTAAAGTCGATTTCAGTTAAATAAATTTAATTTAATTCAATTGTCTGAATACTTATAATCGTGTAAATATAATACGCGTGAAGTGTTATCAAGGTTACGTTTGTAACTTTATTTAATTAAAAAAAGGAGAAAGTATTGTCTTTATTGCCGATCACTTCTTTCAACATCGGTTTTAAATAATTTATCAAAAATTAATAAAACAAATTACCAGAATTTACTTCACGCGTAATAATTTACGCGATCATAAGTATACAGAGCACGTCAGACAATTAAATTTGATTTAAATAACTGAAATCTACCTTAGAACGTAAATTTCCTTAGGTGGCCGCTTGTTTGCAAAAAATTTATATCATAAATCGTAACATTTCATTTATAATATGTATTTATTTTACTAAAACCTCATCCCAATCTGTTGTTTAGAAAATCTACATGACAACTTCAGTAAAGCGTTTATTACAATGTTAGTTTGGTCGCAGTATTTTTATAATGCTCCATAGTTTCTTAAACAGTGCCCTCTATCTGTAAGATCTGTAAATAGTATGTGTATAATGTAAATAGTGTAAATATTTGTTTTTAATAATATGACCAGCAATAATTGAATTGGTAAGAGTGTAAATAAATTTAAATTTTGTGAAAGTGTGTTTTATTTATACTAGTAAACACTGCCGAAACACACCTGTGAAACAGTCTAGTGCCGTTTTACTCCGATAAATCGAGTGATAAATCCATCCAGCAGTTTCCTTAGTTATAATATCGACGAATTCGTAACATTTTGCATGGAGTTGAAAGGGATGTTTTTCCAAAAATAACAAAATAAAAAAGTGAACTAGTTTCATGAACAACAAACAATTTTTTTAGAGAAAAGTATAGCGTAAATGTTAACCAAGATGATAATAAATTTAAAGATATCTACGAAAAAACAAAACTGTTCTGGAATTTGTTAATGGAAATATGCCGATTTTTTGGTAAACAAACACCGACCACACCACATCATAGACAACGCTAATCTACATATAAACTACCCAAAAAACGCACATTCTCCAACATATTATTATATTTTAATCTAATATAAAATATAATTAATAAAACATTAATTATAATTTATCCAATAATAAAACAGCGCAAACATAAGATCGTATACACAGACTGTATTTTCCCATAAATACAAATACGGTACGTCTTTTCTTAAAGTATCCCGACTGATTTAGTCCTGCGTCTAGTTTATAAACACTAATATACACGACTTCTTGTCTTACCGCTCTATGCGCTACCATGTAGAAGTCACGTTATCGTCCCCTCGACCCATCATGGCCGGAGTCCCTTAAGGCTCGGTCCTCTCGCCCCTTCTTTTCACGCTGTTTACCGGCGACATCCCTAGGGCTCCCAATGTAGAGCCCTCTATGCCGATGACGCCGCTCTCTATACCACCCACAAAGACATAGGTGTCATCGGGGACAGGCTCCAGACCGTTACTACGTCGTTCGGCGAATGGTTTCGGAAATGGGGCTTCCAAATAAATCCCGAGAAAAGCGTCGCAGTTCTCTTTGCCACGCGCAACTCCGGTGCGCACGCTCATTCTCGGGATAAATTCCGCCTCAAAAAAGAGGTAACCCTATACGGGCAAGCCATCCCTTGGCAAAAGTCCGCCAAATAACTAGGCGTCACGCTCGATAGCGGCATGTCTTTCCGTAAGCATATAGCCGCCATTCGCAAGAAGGCCTCTTTTGTCCTCTCTCGCCTCCATTTCCTCCTAAATAAAAGGAGTCACATCTTCCTTAGACACAAGGTGACATTGTACAAGGCCTGCATCCGACCGTGCCTGACATACGCTAGCGTAGTCTTTGCGCATTGTGCCCCCTCCTATAGCCTCCTATAGCCTCCTATAGCCTCCTATAGCTACAGGTGCATCAGACGCGATTCACGAGAATCGCGACTGGTGCGCCCTTCTATGTGAGAAACGTCGATCTCCACCACTACCATAGCCCAATGGATGAAGTTGGCGTCCACACGCCACTTCGACAAGGCTAAACACCATCCCAACCCGTCGCGTTGGTGCGTAAAATCATCAACTTTTATCCCTTCCCGACAAGAAAGGCTCGTAAGAGGCCCCGATAGATACTAACGGATCCGGATGATCAAATTACTGTAGCTAACAATAAATTAAAACTTGTGCGTGTACTAGGTGTGTAAGAAGTGAAACTTCTTTATGATCTTATTTTTCGAAAAATGATCTACTATATGCAACTTTACAGAAATTCGTTAAATTAGATAAAGTTTAACAAAAGGCAAGGCTTTTATTATCATAGACATGAATACAAATATTTCATTTTACCTTATTACTACGAAGATTATTATAGAATTTAATTAATTGTAATATAATTATTACTATCATTGAAAAACGTGACGATTTGCTACAAAATTTCTCCCATACGTCGATAAAGAAGTTTGACTTCAAAAAGCAACATGGCGCGTAACCGAAAAATGTGACGCGTAACGAAAAAATGTTACACTAAATTTTTTTCCAACCTCGATAAAGAAGTTTCACTTCAAAAACAATAATAATAATCAAAATCAGATAACAGTAAAAAACCGCCTTCAGCGGGGAAGGCGAGGACATTTACTTCGTACTTCTCTCACTCCAGTGAGCTTCCGTCCTGCCCTTTAGGCAAAACCGCCCATTCAGCCCGAGCTACGCTCGCCAAAACAGCCCGAGCTGAGCAGTAAAGGCCCTTAAGGCCAATAGCGAGATTCCTTTCAAAATATGAAATACTAATAATTATTTAATCAGTGAGAAATTATGTATTTCGTAAATGTTTTTCATTTCATGTAATACTAACATCAAATCATAAACAAGAACTCAAAAAAATCTTATACATACTTGCAATTTATGTGTGTCTCGGAACTCATATTGTACTGACCTCACCAAGGAAACAAGTAGTATGACTCTTATGACTCTATACGCATAATTTTCTACATATAAATATCTTACACTCGGCTACACTTACCAGCGTCTGATATAGTTAGTTTTCAAATTGGTATTTTGTCATTCAAAATTTTGCCATAGCATGGTTTCTTTTTTTATGTTTTCTTAACACAAACTCGTGATAGGATAGTAACTTTACTTTCTACTTGAGCAGCGCTTCGTAAATACGAAAATAAATTCTAATAGCAAATAGTTCTTGTAATATAACTATTAGTGTGGTCGTACTAGACAAAATAATCGCAGTTTGTTACTAGGGGGTAAGGGATTATTAAATAAAACACAGGAATTACGATTACATTGTTTATTTTACAATGCATAATAAAGAACAGACAATTATAATTAGAAAAGTTGTATACGCTATAAAATTGTGAGGACAAAGACTAGGTAAAGGGTGGTATAAGTTGAATTCATTTGTACTAATTTGTTTTATTTTTGCCCTAAATTTGCAATATTAAGCGCCATTCTTATTGTTAGCGATACGGAATAGATAAATAGAGACGGAAGGGCACCGACTGCAGCGAGTATGAAGCGCGTATGATTAAACATGACAAATATTTTGTTTAAGCGTAAAATGCAATGCCATCTCCTAGTAAATAATTGTACCAAAAGCCCTATCCACTTTATTTATCTTTTCTGTGGATAGATGGCGCTAATTCAAATGTGTGGAAATTTTTCATTAAAAATATAGATGGCGCTACAAGGCAATAATTTTAGCTATTTGGGGATTTATTATAACAAAACATTATATCTATCTTACTATATAGGTAGCAAGTCCTACTTTGGTCATTTCAGTGAATATTTGTGTTATATGAAGCACTAAATAGCAAAAGTACAATAACAATCGAGAAATTAAATATATTTTTGCATCTGTTTCACTCGTTTTCTAAGTCAATGATACAATATTGGACCTAAACAACGGAAATTATATAAATACAATAATGAGGCCTAATTGGTGGTAATTGGTACCAACAAACCATTTTGACATAAATTGGTTTCTTCATAGTTAAATGCATACATTAAACAAATATCATATGCACGTTTATGATTCGTCCATAATGTGTTTTCGCAACTATATCCCCCAATGGGGCATGAGGACACATATTTCTTATCTGTCATTCTGACACGTCAATTTTGTAAAATTAAAAACCACTGCTAAAATATCAATTATGACATATGTCATAACAAAATATGTTAAATAGGAATAAATTAAGGATTGTCAGATTGCGTCATGCAAGATTAAATTTATGCGAAATTTCTTGGAGATAATTTTACTGGTAACACTAAAAGGAAGCCATATTTTAATGGCCATAGACAAATTGCTAATAACACATTTTCCTAACTCAGTCCATAAGGTAAAAGGGACCCAAAACATAAAAATATCATTTCCACAGATTGGGTATATAAAAATAATGAAATCGTTCATAACCATACAAACACATATCACGATTACATACACTTTGCTTGTGAAAAAATATTTTTTTTTTAAATAAGTAGTAGCTGCCATATATTTAAAACAGTTTACATTACAAAGCTTTTCAAGAATACACACAAGCCGTGAACCTTATAAATTAAATTACATAAATTTTAATGAGGCAATGAACCTATAGGTATTACATCCCATCTAGACCACCAGGAAGGCTGAAAATTTAGTAATAATTACACATAACTTTTATTAGTTCTTTTACTGCATAAAATAGTTTATAAGTAATAATATAATTAAATTAAAAGCAGCTTAAAATAATTTAAATAAATTATAATACCATAAATTTGTATTATATATAAAAGTTAAAGTATATAATATGGTAAGCCAATTTAGCAAGCTCCGATAATGATGATGTTTGATTTGTGATTTTTTTTGAATATCATGAAAATGTGTTTATAAAGTATACTTTAAAGCAAAAAGCTTTGAAACACAAATCTTGTCAAAAGTTGCTTATTCAGTCGGCGCAATTGAACCTGTCACGTAGTCGTCAATTATAAATAGATTAAAAAATGACAAGCTAAAGCACCCCCGTGAGTGCGTAGGCGCAGTGCGTCCCAAAATATATTTTCACAAGCAAAAGCGCCGCGCGAAGCAGTGAGCCGGTTTGAACCGGTTATGCGCGGCGAATTCCAGTTAAAACCGGTTTTTACCAGAGTCCTGAGGATCTCCCGCCGGGCGGGTTTCGCACGCGGACAGATGTCTTTGTATTGAGACCTTCCATTTCCTCTGAAAATTTAAAATGTGTAAATTTTTGCATTTAATATATTTAACAATCAGCCCCAATTGCCCCAACCTTTTAACTAAATTTAGATTTCGCGTACCCTCTAGATTCCTTGGCATCCCACCATCTCATTTGTCCCTTTCAGAAGAACGTGTTTTGGCCAAAACTCACCAATATCCAAATTGAGCATATTGAAATCGATTTTCCTTTAGTTTCTATAATTGTTTTATCTCTTCGTGTGTATGTTGTTAAGTGCTTGTAACATTAAAATTGTATTTTATTTTTCTTGTGCCAATGTATCAATGTGTCGTTGGCAAGCTTTTATAATAAGTAAAGTGTGTTTCATAGATTATGTTCGAGTGGAGTGCATCGTTTTAAAAAAAGACACTCATTTGTGTGTTATATGTGTTGAGTAGTGCTGGCCTAGACTTCTAGACTAGGCTATTGTGAAGAAAATAACCATAGACCAAAAAATTGTTGTGTCAGGCACAGAAGGCTGATCAACTTGTCTATTAGAAATTACAAATCTGAGGTCCAGACATTATTTTGTGGCTAAGAACATTTGCTACTAACGGCTGATAGAGAAGGTGGAGTTCTGCAGGTTCCTCTGCGTCGGCTCCCGCATCTTGCGGCCCGTGGGAGTGCTGCAGCCCGATGACGTCACCGACATACCCTCCAGCTGCTTCTGGGCCACGCTCAGCTCTGCTAATTATATTTATAACTATAGTACTCGTAAGTATGAATGCGCTTGTAAAGCTACGGTTTTCCTAGAAACGCGGTGCCGTTATCTAACGGCCGTAATGTAACGTTAGGTGATGTCACCCATACGTTGTCTATAAATAACATAGGTTTTCTAGAGAACGTTGAGTGTCACCGTAACGTCAAATAGCGGTGCTGTCATTTGCATGACGGCCGTCATAGCGGTGATAAACAGTACTTCAACATTTTTCGCGTGTAGCGGTGCGCATATTTAATTAATACAATGACTTGGATGAGCGAAAATGATGAACAATTAATTTTGTTAAAAATCATGAAGCTTTGTACAATATCAAATCCAAAGAGTACAGACAAGCTCAGAAA